TTTTAGTGCTATCATTGAAAAGAGGTATGTATATGTGGTTGCATTCAGCATATGTAATGATTGTAATGATGTATTAAAACTGCGACTAATATTTATGAGTAAATCTAAACAAATTTTTATCAAAATTTTGGTTTTGATTTTGGTGCACTGTGTTTAATTGAAAAAAAATGGTAGTGTTGTAGTGGATGAAATAGAATTCAAATTGTTGCTTCTCAACTTATTGCTGCTCATCTGTCGGCTTTCACAGAACGAGAATTTTTCAAATATCTGATAGGTCTTCTCCAATGCCAACGATTCAGTTTTTATATTGCTTCAAGTCGTCTTTCAAGTAAGTTTGAATGATGTTCTTCAAGTCAATAATCCCAACACATCTTTTTTGTTATTTAATGATTTTGCAACTCATGCTGCATTATTTTTCAGTGATTTTTGCGCTTTGTGATTATTATTTTTCAACCTATAAATTGATGTTGCAATGTACTTTAGTCATTTTTCTGAAGAGCGATTCATTGATGGCGTTCTGTTTCTTAGCTTTTGTATTGCATTCATCTCACTAATCATTATCAATATTATCAACATCATTGGTTATTATCATCATTTGCTTTTTATCGTACCATTATTTTTATGCTCATAATTGCTTGTCAGCTTATATTGCTCTATAGGATTAATTTAGTTTATTAAATTGGTCTGTCATCACGGGTTTGTATTAATTTTTCTACATTATTATCATGCCTTATTTGTTATGTTTGTATGATTCATTTCTTGCAATTTTGCTTATATTGTCTCTCTTAATGCTTTTATCTTTTTATTTTTGATGTGCTCAGTACCATGTATACTCACTTAATATCACTGCATGTGATGAAGAAAATTATTCAGCTCGTTTTTTTTTTGAGCCGTATCAGATAATATTTAAATTTAGTAGAATATTTTCTACTTAATCCCTAATTTCAGTTTCCTATAATGTATTACTGCTTAATTAGCTTTATGATAAAGAACACGAAGTCTATGTTTGGTTACAAACTTGTCAGTATTAAAATTTAGGTCAATTAACTAAAAGTTATAGTTGTGAGAAATGTAAATTATTTCTTTTCTCATTTATCCACAAAATGTATTGTTAGTAACGTATTCATTCGCTGGTTTCGCGCAACTTTCAAACAGAGCAGAAGGATGTTAATAACGTGTTGTTGTGAGTATGTACAAGAAAGGAGTTTCTTCCTTCCTTGCCTGTCCTTCTTACTCATTTTTCATTCTCAATATATCAACTAAAATGATATGTAATAAACCTTTCCTACTTCCTACTCTTTTACTTTTCATTTTTCCTCTTCTTATTCTAATCACTTATGATAATTTTAACTAATGCAACTTTTCAGTATATTGTCAGTACTCTTTGCAATTATTATTTCTTCATATTTGTAGTTTTTGTTAATTAGAATGCCAAGTATTATCTTAATTTTAGTTGACACTACATTTCTCATCCAGTAAGCACTAATTAAAGCACTTCACTGTATTTGTAAATTGAACAAAATATCTGTATAATCTTCAGATTTTATTTATCTTTTTATTTAACAGAAGTTGTAGTTAATTGAATGATTAATTCGTAAAAATTTTAAATAACCTTTCATTTTATTAACAAAAAAGTTGGATTTGACCTGGTGACTGAATATCAATACATTTGCTTTCAAGAAAAATTAATATTAAAACAAGAGTAGCACATTAAGAAAAGTTTAAAAAATATATCAAAGTAAAATTGTCAAACTACTCTTTTATATTTTTAATTTTTAATTGCATTAATATATGTTCGCAACAGTGGATATTATGAGAGATTATTAATTTTAGTTTCAAATGTAAAAATCAGAGTATTAGCAATTTTTGAAATTGCGAATCAAATTCTGATGCCGCTGATTTGTTGATTTCAACTTCAGTAGATCGCAAACCTATATGCAACATTTTGCCCTGCTAAAAATACAGTCTTTTGCGTCATAATATCAAATTATTTTTATCTTAATTGCAATTTTATTTCTAGCATCTAAGTACTTTGTAGCACTCTGTGCATAATATGATGCATCTGTTTTGCTAATTACATCATTTTAACTTGCAATTACCGGGTGTAAATCGATTTTGATATTATTAGTTTCATTTCATTAAACACCTTCTGTAATAAAATTACACATGAAATGTTTTAACAATCAAAGTACAAGACAGTCTTTTCTTTATAATAATCTTTATACATAACACGACATTTTTGATTGGATAAAGTAATATTTAAAAGTTCCAGAACACCAAGCATAGATGCTAGCGAAATTCGACATTTCAGTTTCTTTGTTATAGAAATAACTTATTTATTAATATAATGTCTATTAGTCTTGAGTTTAGAAGCATTTCAGAACAAGGGCTATCGAAGGGAAATAAAACTTAAAAATTAAGATAAGAAGATTAGAATAAGATGAGCAATCGAACTAAGATTGTTGGAATGAAGTAGTAAAATGTTCAGTGACCTTGCGGTCTTCTTCATATATACTTGAGTCAGGAAATGTTTGCTATGATTAGAGGTAAATGAAGACTACGGAAAAAAACATAAGTAGAAGGTGAAGACAGACGTATTCAGAAATGAAAGCTTGTTAACAGTGACGAAAACAAACTTCTCAATTGAATTATATATATAATTCAATTGAGAAGATTGCTGTCGAAAAAAACTGAATACTTTTATAAATGAATTGTGCATCAAACCGCAGAATTCTTGTATCGATATGAGTAAATCACATCACATAAAAATCAAATCATCCATACTAAAATTTAGTATTTATATTCATCATTGTATCCTAAGATTGTTTCAGGCTTATCAGATAATGCATCGTATACTCTTGTATCTTTTGACTATTTCATTGTTGATACATGTCTCTTGGAACCAGTTCACTTCTCAAACATATCCTGATCCACGAATTGACGCATACAGTTGCAGGGTTGCAACTGTAGGAGCAGTGTGTGATCCAGCTGAGTTAATTGTCCCTAAAGAAAGAGAAGCACTTGCTGCTCGAATTAAACAAGTCAAATTTTAGTTTGCAGTACAATATAAACTAGCGAAATTTAGTGCTAATTATCCCTACATTGATATATATGTTTTAGTTTTTTACTTTCAAAAACATTTATCACTCTAAAACTGTTTGGATTTCATTTCTTCCACACTGAAAATTGGTACTCATAACACAGCAAAAAAGTTAAACAAAACGAACAGAGAAAATCTTTTGTTTTTTTCAGCTCTGCTATTCTTGAAATTATTTCTCGTGCCTGATGCACTTTTTGAATAAAAATCTCTTTTTACGAAGAAAAAGATTGATTAAGATTTGGTCAGTGATGTAAAGTATCACTACATAACTGAATGATTGTATTTCTGAAAAAAATAAAAATAAAAAATAAGAAAGAAACAATTCTGTTGCTAGTTTATTATTAAAAAATTGAAAATTACAAACTTAAAATGAGAAGCCAATATTCGACTTGAATTTTTTAGCTAATGTCATATGCAGCCACAGTTCCAAACACATCTCCTGCATGTCAATTACTTCCCGATAAAAGTCTTGATATTATTGTGGGAGTAATTGATAAGATCGGCACAGTACCTATTGCTCCAGTTGATATTGAAAAATTTACAAACAATCTTAAAAGTCGGTATCAGCATTATCAGGTGTACCTTTCTACTTATTATTCATCAAAAGTCAAATAAAACATGCAAAACAATGTTTGATAATAGTCAAATCGACTTTACTTAAAAGTTGCTTAATTAGTAATCTAACATTATGTAATACACTAATTTTAACGATCATTTACTTATTATGCAATTAATTATCAAAGTAAGCTCACTCATATTATTATTATTATTATTATTACATCATGCTTAGGATGCAAGTTTATGCGATACGATGGTACTTATTGTAAATTCAAAAAGCGATCGACAAGTATTTACGGTAGCTGGGAAAGATACAAAATTAACGAAAGAAATCTTGAAATCTGCTTTTGAACAAAATATCAATTATTTCAGAGTATGTTTTATGAATTTTCCAGAATTTCTGCACAGTTGTTGATACTGCGAATTTCGGAAAGTAAATAAATTGTTCGCTTTCTAAAAATTCGAAGGAAAATTTCAGGCTAATAATTTTGCCGCTGGTCTTCAAGGTATAGCAGAATTTGTAACGAAATCTTATCGAGATGCACATTTGCCTCGAATTGACACAAGATTACCAGTACCGATATTTCCTGAAAGGCCTATCAAAAAGTAGCATAAATAAATGATTTTATTATAGATTGCTTGAAATTTTGCTAGTTATTTGCTTTTTAAATGTTCAGATTCAAAATTTAAAATGATTTTGCAGTGAAGTGGGCGCAATATTCGCAAGTGGTGTACGACAAACAGTAGACAATTTAAGCACGCTAGTTCCATCGACATTTACTGATACTCAAACACAACTTTCTGGATCTCATAATCATGCTAATTTCATACTTTCAGTAGAAGATGAAAGTGATCTACTGTGGATTGAAATCTTTGCACAGGTTGTTTTTCCCATGTTGCACTGTTTCGTTAAAATTTTTAAAAAACTGTTGGTAGAAAAATATACTCGTTATTAGCATTTTTAAAAACTTTGGAAAAGAGATTTTGACCTTAAATGTCTTTACGAATTGTTTGAGAGATACATTTATGAAGGAAAAGTGAGAATGCAGAATCTATATATAAAATGGTAGATAGCAGATTCTGTGAAAATTTTTGAAAATTATTTGAGGCTGAAGCAAGATGTGGGAAGAATCCACCACAATTGGTTCACTATGTTCAAGCAGTTGTTGAAGGTAAGTCTGATACAAAAATAATTATTCTTAACTGCAAACTCATTTCTTTCAGATTATTTCACATTTTTTTATTTAAAAAAATATCGGAACCTTGTATAATTCGCACTTTTAAATAATTGTAAAGATCACATATATTGATATTAACAATGTTTACTCTTGCAGAAGCGATGTCATTTTCTCTAAGACTCATATCTGACCAGCGATATTCCACAATTGAGGAAGATGCTCAAGGAATGAAAGATGATCCGGATGGTAGAGTACGTGCGTGGAACAAGGCTAAGGTCAATTTCATTGATCAGCTTTACCAAAAGTATTACCGAACAATTCGAAGCAAGGCTGGTCACAAATGTCCTGCAAGACCCCATCAACGATTGACTTAGTTACTAAATTCATAAGAACCTTACCCCTCTAATACTTATTACTGAGCTTAAACGAGAAAAACGCTAACACAATATGATGTCCCTACCATTCAAGATTTGCTGCTTTCAACTCCTATTTTCAGAATCTTTGCCTCAGTTCTTGAATTTAAAATGTCTACCATTTATTAAAGTCAGCATATGCTGAATGAAACTAATCATGATTACAATAGCTCATAGCAGTGGATCATAACGTCACTCCGCATAGTCATTCAAGCCACAAATACCCACTTCTTCGCCTTGTAGTCCCAGACACACCAAACTGAATACTTCCTTACTGTGGAAAAAAGTAGAATGGAGCTCAACCCTTTCTCGAGTAAAATTTGGAAAATGCCGAAAATTGGAACGCCAATCCGGAAACCAAAACCATTAAAAATATCATACAACTTACTTCTAACCTCATTTTTTATGAATGTGTAACCCCTGCTCATACTTCTGTTGTGAAATGCACAAGAACTCCACATTAATTCTACAGTGCTCAAAATAATTCGCTGTTTGTTCTGCTACATTACTCGTCCTTTCGTACTTTTCTTAAATGATACATTGTTTCTAGACTTCATGTTAATAACCTCACAACGAAAAATAAACATTAACTGCCTTACGATGCATTTAGTATAAATGTGAAATATATTTTTACAAGAGATAAAAAATGTTTTCAAGCCATTCACATCATCGATCCTTTCAGTTCACTCTAACATTTCAGTTCACTCAATGATTGAGACACGAAAGCTGAACAACTATCCGGTGATATGTTATCATTAATATTACATATGCTATGAGATTTCAGAAAATCATACTTTACATTCCTCATAAAATTCAAGACACTTTATTAATCAAGTATTTCCCACCTATGAAACTTTACTATTTTCCAGATATCTCAAAATTCATCATTAAAAGGAAAGAGTGGATGGTCGCCATCTCTTGATTTGAGATCTAAAATACGCCAGTTTCTATCCATGTCGTCAATCAATGCCATTTCATTTGACATGAGTTCAAAGTCAAAAATATTAAGATTTTCAATAATCCTTTTCTCTGTCACAGATTTGGGGATTACAACCAAGCCACGTTGAATAGCCCAACGTAATACTACCTGAAAACTAAAAAATCACTCCCTTAAATTCACTCTCGGAGTATTTATTAAACTGCATTTATATTTGATATTTTCATGTTTAGTTCACCACAATTTTGTTATCCAAAAATACACTGTAAAGTTTGAAACAAATAAATAAATCACTACAAAAAGTCATGAAAAATGCGCAACCAGGAGAAGTTCCAGAACCACTCCTTAATGAACAATTCATTATTCATTCATTTCCTCGAAAAAAATCAGGACTTAACAAAATTGAGATGAGATGACCACATTTTAAGGCTTTACCTGTGCTGGTGATTTATGATGCACTTCTGCAAGTTTCAAAATTATAGGATCATCAAGTAAAATCGCATCATTTTCATTCCTAAATGGCATGGCAGCATTGGCAAGTGGACTATAAGCAGTAATCACTATTCCACGGCTTTTACAAAAATTGATGAGTTTGGATTGTTGGAAATACGGATGAAGTTCAACCTGAATTTAATGTCTTTTGCATGTTAATATTCGTAATACTAAATAAAACTCTAGTTCTATTCAACAAAAAATACATTCAAACAATTTAGCACTATGCATAATGTCAAATGAATTCTAGATGATTTGTTTTATCTGACTGCACGAAAAAATAAACATTCCATACATGAAAATCTAATAAAAAAAGCAATATATAGAAATGGTAAAAACTACTCCTTTGTACAGTATGAGATGAAGATTAAGGAAACCTGCAATATGGCCGGTTTTATCACACCACAGTCAATAACTCGTTGTATTTGTTTGTGGTTGAAATTTGATAATCCAATTGAACGAATTTTCCCTGATTCGACATATTCCTCCATTGCACGCCAAGTATCCAGGTAGTCAGTATCTGAATACCTGAATTTGTAACCATCCGATCTCTGAAAAAATGTTTGCTATACAGAAAAAGATCAAACAAATTTTGAAAATATTATTATTTACAATAGAACGACAAACTTGGAAAAGACAAATCTATAGTCAAATGTTGTTGATCAGAAAGCATAGGAAATAACTGTTCGATCTGCACTACTTTATAAATTAAATCAATTTGTTCAATCAATTGAATTCACAGATTATACTGTACTGCATAATAATATACCTTGGGGAAAAAACCCTGACCCTCTTTATATCCATGCGGCCAGTGAATAAGGCATAAGTCTAAATAATCTAGACGAAGTTCCTTGAGTATAATGGCAATACCACGCTTCGCTCTTTCGTAAGAATGAAAAGTGTTCCATATTTTCGATGTAATAAATACATCACTACGCTGAAAGCTACTGAGGAATAATAAATGGAACCAGTTATTGCTTCCTCACGTTCAAATTAACAAAAGTAAGCAAAAATGAATTGTAAGAAAGTAAAATACAGCTCCACTCGTCTTCAATTCTTATACATGTAAACAAGAAAGAAACAACAACTGTTACTTTCAGTTTTCCTTCCTTAAATACTTCAGCGAGCGCTTCACCAATTTCTTCTTGATTTTGATACACATGTGCACAGTCAATATGCCGATAACCATTATTAAGAGCAATTTTCACAGCTTTCCCGACTTGACCCACTGGAGAAAGCCAAGTACCCAAGCCAACTACTGGAATTTTATAGCCTGAATTCAATGAAACCTCGGTGACCATGACAATGAAATAAGAGACACCTAAAAATGGACAGGATAAAGGTAACAATTCTGCAAAAAATTTAGCACATCATATCAATGTGTTAAAGAATATCAACACTTATCGCAAGCAGCTAGTTAGTATTAATTAACAATGGAAACAATGCAAAAATAACAATAAAGACGATAGTGTATAATCTTCGCTAATATAAAAAATAAATAGCATAATACTTCGGATCACCTTTCAATCCATGAAACTGATTACATACAGTTTCTTCACCCTTCAAATAAGCTCAGTGCACAACATTTATACTTTAATCACTCACAGTTACAGATACGTCCAGAAAATTAGAAAAAGTAATCGATGCAAAGAATGAACAATTAATCAGTAATACAGTTTTGACATTAAACGTAATCCACCTCCTATCACAATTAACTGTCACTTCCTTTGCACCTTTTGCTTCCTTAATTTGCAAGTTCCTGACCGTTCTAATTGCCTCAGAACGTATAACACATCAGAAAACCAATTATATATGCACCCTAATCTTACAATTGTCCATTTCTCCCTGTTACTACCACTTCTCTTTTATTCCATTTACTGAATTATCCATTACAATTTTTGTTTCGTTCGCAATTTGACCTTTCAGCCGTTCAAATTTTTTCTTACATTCGACATCATCTGTTGCAGTATATCATGCTCTTTTATTCTTTCTACAAAAAACAGTACTCAAACTCTCTAATCCTACTTAAAATGCATTGTGTATATTTATTTTTGCTTGGAGAAAGTACAGTACTGTATTTCCTTACCTCAAGCAAATTTTCTTTATTAATTTTAGTCTATTTTTGTCAATAATATAAATATATGTATGAACTATCAAAGAATTTATTTGCTTTCGGTCTTGCTGAGTTTTAATTGGTGTTATATTTATTATCGAAAAACAATCGTTCAAAGTTTATAAAAAATCGCTCGCATATGACGACTTATTTTGTTTATTCTTCGTAATGTTGCAGTTTTCATTTTCATCGTAGAATGTGTCAGCCGCACTTTCAACGTTATTACTTTCCTTTATATGTTAATCATTTGCATTTTACTTCATTAAGTTTATACTAGTGACTTAGCCCTATTTTGTTGCTGATAACTTTCGGTTTTATAACTTCTGTTGACCTTTGCTTATTACAGAATCAAAACTTTCAAAGATTTACAGATTTAATCAGATTTCAAGCTTAAATTGCTTTCAAATAACTAATTGTAAGAAATAAGCAGGGAATAATAAATAACTGCTCGTTGACCAGAAGTTATTATCTTTTATCAAAAACATATTCTTAATCATCCTATATGTTTATAATAATGCATTCGTATAAGCGCGTATTATTCACTCTAAAATTTGGAACATATATCTCACTATTAAATCATGTTAATACTTTGAGGTACCCTGCGAATCATAATTAATGGCCGAATTAAATTCTAAAAAGTTCTCTATACACGGATTTATTCCCTTATGCAACTGTAAACAACTAAATTAAGCATGGCAGCTATTTCAACTGCATGTTCGAAGTGTATTATTTATGTAAAGGAGCTGAGAGCACAAGATGCTACTAACAAGGTTTCAGGCCGTTCAATTTTTGTATATGAAAATGTTATTGCAAAATTAATCCAATCTCTTTGGTTTGTGTATCACCATTGATGGAAGATAAACCGTCCCTAGGGAAGTCGCAACTTACAAAAAAATTTCAGAAAAAAAATGGAAGAATAGAATTTAAAGGCAGTGACATTTCGTAGTTGGTTTCTAATTTCTCGTTATTATCTAAGAAATAATCATAATTCATTTGATCATTTATCCTCCATGTAAAACTAATTATACTAAGAGCTGCTTATTCAAGTTCACAAAAATTGAATTGTCGTACAAAAAACAATTTCAGATTCTGCATCAACAAATTGAGGAGCTTAAAAACAAAGTAAAGCTTCTAAACGATACAAATGACAAAGTTCTGGAAAAACTCAGTGACAGATTAATGAAACTGGAGGACTATAATGTCAAGATGAACGTAAATTTTTATTCTATTTTAGTTATTATAATTAATGCAACTCATATTGCTTTTTGATATTACACCAAAAACTTATGACGACTAATTTTTTATTAGTCTTTAAAAACAATAATTAATTTCGGAGTTAAATTGTCTTCTTTGTCTGAATTTCAGAAAATTCATGAGATCTTGTTACTGTGTCATTAAATAAATTTCCAAACGTAATTCTATGAAAAAAAAACTTTAAAAAACTTGCAAAGTTTTATCACTGTAATTTAAAATCACCCTTTGGAATATTGCAGATGTATCAAGTTTAACATTTATTTGCTGTATAAAAAATCTTATAGATTTTACATAAGTCTTGGAAAATCAAACCGTAAAATATGACCGGATTTTATCAGAAATATTTTTATTGATTTCTGGGATCATTCAAAATTTACTTTTACAAAATTAGAAAGCTAAAACGAAAAAAATTAAAAATGAAATTTCGGTGGGGTTGAGTTAATTGTTCCATATATGATAATATCATGAACATGCTGAGTTTTTAAACAGAACTTATGGACCTTAAAGTGTTCACTTGATATGTGATGATCTGTAGGATCTCGAGAAACAGCTGCAGTATGTAGTTGGGCAACGTGAAATTAAAAGATTTTCACGCAGAGAAGTTAATAGCTTCACTGATAAAGATGTAAAACATATTCACCCGCAGCTTGTTCTAAAGGTTTGGAAATATTTATCACAAAGATTATGTGATTATCTATTTTGGAGATGAAATAAATTTCGAAAATATTTTTTAAATAGATCGTTTTAGTTTCAAAAACTCCTGGATGAATAATGTTAGTTAGTGATTGCAGGATAAGAAAATAATAGAATTAAATAATATGGTATTAGAAAAGGAAAAGCAAATTCTTGATCTGCAAGAAATGTGCCGTGAACAAAAGGAACTAGTGCAGGCAAAAGCTAAAGCTTCTCACATTATGCAACAAAGACTTGTGGTAATTTTAATTCCTTACTTGGTTATAAATTCTTGAGACTATGCATTGTTCTTGAGTTTAATTCTATCAAATTTGATGGGCTTATAATATGTAATGGTAGAATTATTGTGAGGTATCAAAGTATTTTCATTCATGATCTGTTTAGGTTTTCGGCCAAATATTTATTGTGGAAATTTGAGATTTTTCACACTTGTCTTTTTTCTATTATCAGAAACTAATCTAGAACTTCAATGCCGCAGCAAAAAAACATGTTCTAACATGAATGTTAATCTAATATAGAAATGATGTAGTTTTTAGTCAATATTTTCATCAGTGATAAAATTTCAGGATTTAGAATCGCGAACAACTCGGGAAGGTTCTACAGAGACGGAAACAGCATATCTCTTTGATTCCTCAGTTTTGTCATCTCGACCACAGAAAGAATATCAGCGAGACTCTGCGTCACCTGGATGTGCAGTTCAGCTGAAAATAGGTTGTTGACATTCTCCTTGAGTTATTTATGTAATATATGGGATTCTTCGAAATCGGGAATTAACTTAGTCAATTGTGACCAGAATTGAACGCAGTGAGAATATTAGTTTTTCTTAGGTGGCTCAGGTTCTCCTCCACCAGTAGATCCTAGTGAGGAATACAGCTCCATTGCTCAGGATAATATCCATGAAGACATCGATGGTGACGATGCTAATGTTACATCGTGCAGCTTTCAAAAGAAAAAACAGAGGAAAAAAGTTACATTCTTCTTACCGCCTCAGAAAGAATTTAGGGACGGCAAGTGCTTTTTTTCTATTTGTTTAGATTAGTGATTCTAAGAATTTTTCCACTGAAAGATTATTGATTGGAATATGAAGCTGCTAATTTGAATTCGGTAAGTTGGACAGTTTGGGAATGCTAAATCATTTTTGCAGTTGGTAAAGACGTTGATGACGATATAGCACAAGCAATCATCGACCTAACAACGGAAAATGATCAGTTGCGAAAAACAATTCAGAAAATGGAAACCTGTGCCGACGATACACGAAATCAAATCTGCCAGGTTTCTCATGAAGTTTTTCACCTAGTTTGCATCATATTACCTATTTCTCGTTGATTGAAACACAACTGTCAGTTTTGTGGAAGGACTTCTGGGTTATAATCGAACAAAGTGTCATATTTTATAGTGAGTATAAGTTTTTGCAATAGCAGCATAATAAAAAAACCGTATAGAATAAGTGTATGAAATGGTTTGTAAATTCGGGATCTCAAAAAACTGAAGATTCTTCAGAACTGCCATCTTTAATGTAAAGAACAATTCCAGTTTGGGTAGAATATTTTTCAAGCATTTACTAGTCGTAAATGAACTGTTATTTTCTTTTAAATTTACAAAAACAATGTTATCATTCGCAAGGACAGTGAAATCACGTGAATTGCTGGGCAACTATTAATTCCTTGTTATTTTATGCTTTGCAGCTTCAGTTAGAAATTTTCTCAGATTTTACAGATGAATTTCACAAATAAATTTTACGGATGCTGTATAATATTTCTGCGTTATTTAAGCTTCAATGTAAATTAGTATTTATCTTGTCTTCTTTAATATTAGTACAACTCAAAATTGAAAAAAAAAGTTGAAAATTTGAATTTTTCTGTTCACAGATATACAAAATATGGAATTGTGGATATTATCTTAAATTTTGAGTGTTGCTTGTAATGACATGTTTAGTTGCAAATTCAATTGGATGAAGCAAATCGAGAAAGTCGAAATCAGGTGCTGAAAGCTCGTGCTTCAATGCAGAGTAAAGTACGGGATTTAGAAGATAAAATTGCATCACTTACTGCAGATCATGCAGTAGAGGTTCGTAATTTCATAATAAAAATTTTTCTCGGTAAGTTTTGAACTGATAAATATATCCAAAACTTCATTTCTAGTTTTATTTCTGAACGCTGGGATGAAAAAAATGTAGAGTACATTTTATAAAGACTAGCCAATCTTTTTCAGACTAAGCTTCTAAATGCAGCTACTGAAACGCTTAAAGCTGATCGAGAATGGACGATGGAGGAGAATACTCGTCTACTAGAGCTTCTTGACTCAAGACAGTAGGATTTTTTAATACCTTTGCTTTCGAGTTGCCTTGCTTACAAAAAGTTCGGAATCTATAGTCATTTTTTGGGACCAGCCTTTGTTCTAAAATGTCAGATATAGAGTATGCATTTAGTTATGTAATCATGTCAAGATATTTTGTTTTCCATTTCAGTTTTCGTTTTGTTTCGTTTTCTGATGTGGAATGTCTTTAGAGAAAAATTACAAGACGCATGGGAAGCAATAGATAAGAAAGGAAAAGAATATGACAAAATTCGTTCAAAGTTGCTGAACGATCGAGCATTGATTGTTCGGTTGGGAGATGATCTAGAGAAGGTGCAAGGAACAGCTAATGCTCTCTTGGAGCAAAAAATTTCTATTCTTGATGATGTTGAACGGTTGAAAGGTATGGTTAACGGTACAGTAGATATAATCAATGATAATAAATAGGGATACACCATTTTAACATTCTTGCTATTACGCTTTATAATTTTACTGTTTATTAAATTGCAGAGGCTTTGGAAGCACAAGATCAGTACATTGATTTATTGGAGAAAGACACAGTCATATACGAAAATCATATCGGATTATTGAGAGATTCATTGGGTGCTTCGAAAATTGAAAAAAGAGAATTAATAAAATCAAAAGTTTCCGATGCGAAGTTGAAGGCGCTGGAGCAAGAAAAAGATAAGATTAAGCGAAGACGAAATGGTTAGTAAGATTATTATATCTTCGAGTTCAAAAATAGTGAATGCTCACGTAAAGCTGATAAAAGTTCAAGTTCTAAAAGCTTTAAAAGAGCACGCGTCATAAATAGGTTGTTATTGTAATTTCGTAGAATTACTAGTTAAAAAATTTTGAGGACGCTATATGTACAGTGAAGTCTTCAAAATTATATTTAAAAAAAGTTAAAATTCGATTTAAGGCCCTGTATAATCTTATATGTGTCTTAAATTTAGTCACTCTTAACTGTTTTAGCTCAATTTTTCATTTGCCAAAAATGTTTATTAATATTAAAGAGACAAACTTCAAAACTATCTATGTGGAAAATTAGATTCAAACTAGTCAAACTAGTTTAAACTATAGGGGAACAAAGGGCAATCCTTTTATTAATGTAGCAAATTTCTTTTCTAAGTCAGTTGTTTTGAGTACTCTGAATAAAGGTACTATTGCCAGGTTAAAGAGCAAAAATCGAAGGTAATGGGAAAAGGATAAAATCTGTATTTTCTTTCGTGTAGTAATTATATTTAACCAATTTGAAGAATGTTTTGGAGTCACCAGGTACTATGGAATTGCAGAGAACAATTTATTGAGAAAAAATGCAAGATGACAAAATTTAGTCATATAATAATAACAAGAATCTGTAAATTAAATTTTAATACAAAATTCGAAATCAAAAACTTCATTCCAAATCTTGATTAAAAATTGTGCACGACGTAGTTTCATCTGAAATTACAGTGAGTGAGTTTCAATCTATAATGATATGTTTCCTGGTAAAGAGCACTGAAATATATATATTTGGCACTCATTAAATATCGTACTAAAAGATTTTATTTAAATTTAACAATCTTTGTTCCATTCCTTAAAATTTGGGTGTAAGCTGATTAAGAATGCAGCGTCTTATTTTATCTTATGTTTGTGAACTATGCTACAGCTATTTTTATGCTTATAACTAAATCCCATGGAGAGTAAGCTGAAAGGCTATTTAAGACCGGCATTTCTAAAGTTTATTAATAACGATAAATTTACGCTTTAATACGTAGATCAAAGGGGCTAATTGTCTCAAGAATCATTCTGTTCCTGATTATTTCTTTGATCAATATCTGCTACTTTTCTGAATGTTCTATAGCACCGATAGCTCTGGCCAAGGGACAGTTCGCTTCCATCTGAATAATCAATCTGAAATTAATTGAAAGAAATCAGATCATTATGCATCTCGTGCAAACGTAACGATGTTGAACAAAAGTTTCTATTTGAGCATTGGTAAGAATTTACACAAATTAAAGTTCTCACCTCATTAGCACAGAGTGGACAGAACCATACACGAGCATTCATGCAGCAGTAGATACCACATGGGAAGCATATCACAGCGTAAATTATTCCACTCCATGTGAAACGTTTCTTTACACTATAAACTTTGCATATGGGGCAAAGTGGCATCGTATGAGAGTGTTTCTGTTCTACATCTGGTTATTTCAGCAAGAATTTTAGCTGCATTAGAAACTTGATACTTATTAATTTGAATAATGAATTAAGTAACACAACTTATAGAATAACATTCTGAGAATTCAGTTAAGTAATGTTTTTTGGCTTCTTATAAACAACAGAATTAGCAGCAGTCAACTTTAGTCCAATTTTATTGTTACTATTCATAGATACATGGCTATGAATACATAATAAAACAGCTATATACATTATTTATATATATATAGCTAATGATTATTTAAAAACTTTTTGTAACATTTATATAGTCAAGCATTTTGAAATACAGAAACAACTAAGATGTATTTTAAAGCAGCAACACATGATTTGAGTGCGCGAAAGTGACAGAGGCTCTTGTAACCAAAATTGTTAACAAGAACGATAAGTGCGGGAAAGAATTTGCTGAGAAAATATTCATGATATGATTACAACTAAGTATTGCACTGCTGGGTTGTCAAATGTTCATGGTCATGTAATTGCAAGAATAGTAGGAAGTAATTTGTGATCAATTTGGGTGGAGTCATGTCCTACATGTTTATCAGAAATCAGCCAGAAGCTTCATATATCTTACTGGAAGCCTAAGCCACTAAATAAGGTTTTTCCCTTAATTAAATTTGATAAACATGATTGTAATGAAAATTTTATAAACATGATTGTGATGTAATCTACATTTATGTGAAGTAAACGGACAATTTGAAGGGGAAGAGATCAGAGTAGAGACATACATGGGTCATGTATGGTGTAATTTGTGAGCTAGAAATTGGTGATTCATTGTATGTGGAAGTGGAAGTGTGAGTAAAAGTTAAACAGCACTTGTTATGATGTGACTAGAACATTGTCTTACTAATCGAAAAATATGCTAGAAGGGAGCACAATGTGTTTACTGAATCTTGCACAGATGTTTCTATGCGACATTGATGTGATAAGTATAGTTAGAGAAGTATTATATGGTGATATGTTAAATTTAGCAAGAGCGGGCACTGAAAGAAAAACAGGCAACATGGTAAATATGTCCCGACTTATATGAGTGAGTAACAGAATGTATTGTGCATGGAAAGCACTGAGAGGGTCAATGAAATTAAATCGATTATTAGGAGTTGGACGAAAAGTGTAAAGAGGAGAGAATTGTTTATCTGGTTTACGTAATAAGTGATGAGATAAAGTCGTTAGCATTGCAGTGGGTTTTGAGTAATAAACTGCACAATAACGTGATTCTGTGCTTTCATTATCTATTTATTAGTTCGTTTCTTGCTGCATTAGTGGGCACAGTGCGTGGTGTAGCTGACAAAAATAAGCATATGTGTGCATTACTCCTTCATGCTCCGTTACATCAACAGTTGTGTTATGTTACGGACTGATTTCTTGAAGTTTATTGATGTCAAATCGACATTTTAAAAAGAGTTTGATATTGTGTACTCAAACAATTAATTGGAGGTAGTCATTCGGTTGTGAGAACCATGGTTGGTAGAATAAATTGATAAATTTTAAGCATTACTAATAATGAGTCGATGGAGTAGAATAGGAGTGTTTTGTGTAACAAAATGCAGTTCAGCACAACCTGTGAATATGATACTTATAATTGAAAATTAACATGAAGAAAATAGTAATGGTGTCTGCGCAAAAAGTGTAATTTCCAACGAAAGAGAGTAAAAAAATAACGTGAGCATAATAAATGGCTGGGAAGTTTTTATGCACACATGAATGCGTGTGTATTTAATTTAAGCTGATTTTTGTTAACTTTGCGTATGTAAGCATTTGAGATCGCAAGTTTAAGGTATTTCACACTGTAAATTGGTGTAGGTGCAAACCAAAGCAATACAGACTTATTTTTTTGTGGCACTTCTGGTACTTCTAAAAATTAAGTCTGTATTGCTTTTGTTTGATGGCATTTACATATTTTCATTTTAGAGACAGGAGAGTATTCAATTCTGGATTTAATTGTACTTTATAAAAGACGTTAAGAAGTCTATCAAATGTAACATGCATACTCTATAACGTGAATTGTGTACAGTTTCAAAATGAAAGAGATACAAATATACAGACGACTCAGATATTTAAAATTTGGTTAGGGATTCATGGAGTAGATCGTCAATGTCCACTCTCTAGCAGCAATTTTTGGAGATTGATTTATCTTCGAAGAGTCTTGAGCGTTGCGAATGAGAATCATTAAAAGAAAAGCAACGTTGAAGCATTTTGGCGTAAATTACTTTTATGATATGATGTTGGTAGTGCTTGCAAGCAATGAAAAGGCTGTGAATATCTCAAAAATGCGTGAGGAGAGTTGTAGAAAAAGATGTAGTCTGCAGGGCAAACACTTTGTAGCTGAATTTGCTGTTAGCAAACTTTCATGGCAGCTTTAATTTGTACCGGTCAGCATGCTCTGATATGATGTAAATGTTTTGTTCTTTTCATCCGAAAACATGAGAAAAAATGCAGTCGTTCATTGCTGATAAGACATGCTAGCAAATATCATCAAGCAGTCTCCGCACATATCCGTTCATTGAATAAAATTTTAGCAAATTTTAATGATAAAATCAGAAACATTAAAATTGAGATGTGCACTTTTTTGCAGTTAGATCAAGGCAAGGAAAGGAATAAAAGGAAGGTGGAAGGTTGAAAAGGAAAGGTTCGTGAATATAAATAAGAGTATCAGTTATCCATTCATACATACCTATACAGGAATAACTTGAAGTACGTCCGTAATATACGCATGTGATTACCAACAACGTACTTCAAGTTATTATATATATATATACATATATATATGTCTTGGTATCTAATGCAGTAACACTTCGTGTAATTTTAGAAGTTGATATCTTTATACATTAAGTCATTCCAAGTCAGGTATTCACTTTCTTAATGCATTCAAATAAGCATAGGATATATCATGTGGTTCACATTTTTCCATCTTAAATTTACATATGCACTCATTTTTTCATTTTAAATTTACATATGCACTTGAAATAATTGTAGTGATAGATTGGTTGACTGATTGATTGCATTTGTTGCATTGCTTTGGCGAAGCGCTATATGTCTCTCATTGTTCTACAATTTATGTCGGAGCACTGAGCACTTTTCTGCCTACCATAGTGCTAAAATGCTGCTACTACCAATTATAGCAAAGTTGAGAGAGAAAATTTTTCTTCTACGCATAAGAATCATTTTTTTAAAACAATGCAACCCTGACAAATGCTAATGATACAAATATATACCAACAATTTTTAAATATTTATTCAGTAAATAAAAGCACTGAAAACGGTTTCTTTTCTAGCTCTTGCAGGATGAAATTATCATTTATTTTTCTACCGTTAAAATTCATCGCTGGAGATTGAACACTGATCACTGATGAATGCAATCTTACTTTCATTCAATTCCCATTCACTTTTGAAAATATGAGGTGAAACAAATAATTATGGTAAGCAAGACCGTTATGAGTCTACAGATAATGAAACATTTAGTTAGAGTTTAATTGCTTTTGTTTTTTAATAATTTTTCAATTTGAGATGAGAAGCTGCACGTTAAAGCCCTGAAATGCAAAATCAGTGTTCTGAAAGCAGAAAATATGCTGTTAGCGGAACGAAATGATGACCTGTTATCTCAACTGCTTCAGTTGAGCAAAAATGTTTATGCTGTTTCAACTTCCACTCTCTCCTCTTGCGCTGTAACAACTATTTCAAGTTCAGCCAAACCAAAAAGTGCCTTCAAACCTTTACGTGCTGAAACAACAGCGCATCAGGTATCAAGCTCTTTCAGATTTTTTGAAAAGCACTAAAGAGATAAGTGCCTTAAAGTTGTATCACAATAGTTAATTAAACTATTTATTCTCTTTATTGAAATATACAATTTAGGTATTAGTTCATTTCTTGCACATTACAAAAATTAATGATTTTTTTGTTGAAGAAATTATCTGATGAATGTCAAGCGTTCAGGGAAACTTTCCAGTTTTCGGAACCTGGTAATGTAACTGCAGTACAAGGTAATAATATGCTTCTTTTATAAATTTTAATATGCAAACCGTAATAAAGTGTTTTCTGTTCACTCCGTATTGTGTCGTTTCAAGTATTTCGTGTATTGGATGCTAATACTGTGTTGAAATAATATCAGTTTCTTTCTTAAAAATGCCTAATCCGATTCTTATCAAAATGCGGTAAAATTTTGTAGGATGCAATTGCAATAAGGAGTCTGAGCAACAAAAACTTTGCGAGCAAGAGAGTTTGATAAGTAGGCTGCAGAATAATTTAGATTTCGTTCGTAATGACTATTTACAACTGCAAGATAAAAACGTGTCTTTGGATTGCATCAGTTTTGAATTGGCAAATCAGTTGAAAGATACTAGAAAGAAATTGGTAAATGCTGAAATACGAGCAGAAGAAGCCGAAAAACAAACAGCGGAAGCTCGTGAACATTGCATGCTGCAAGAAAAAAACAATAAGTGTTTGGAAGCAGAATATTCAGAAACGGTTCTGAGGCTTATATGATTTCAAAAATGTGATTTACTGAAATTTGAAAAAGAATTCAAAGTTAACTTTTTGTTACTTTTCATGGTTTTGAGATCAAAGTAATCAACATCATGATTCATTTCAAAATAGCGTTTAAAAGTTCGTATACATATTAGTGGTTTTGGAAAAAAAGCATTGTTTTTAGTGCAGCATTATGGAGAAGGAGCTAAAAAACTTGAGAGAAGAACTGAATGCGAAAAATGAACAGTATTGTGCATGTATTGCTGAAAAGAATAAACAGGATGAGAAAATGAAACAATGGCAATTTGCTGTTGACGAGATGAAAGCCGTACATTCAGAAATTCAAATGCTGGAGAAACAGGTGAACCTAGATTGGGCATAATATTTAAAAAAGTATAATTTGTACGCACACAGATTAAATCAGAGAAGCTTATTTGGTCTTGTTTTAAATAATGTATGAACTTCGTATAGAATTTAGTAACAGTTTACTTGATTTCTTCCTAGGTAATATGTTTCTTTATTTTATAGTGAGCATATCAAGATCTTTGATTCTCGTATGAAATTCGAAAAATTCAAAGTTTCGATGTAGTAAATTATGGAAGAACTGGCTCGAGATAATTATCTGCATAATTTCCTTACATATTGTCGCATCAAAATAGACGCTTGCATTGTTGATTTATGAGTGGTATCATGACTATTCAAAGTCTTCTGAATTCTAGCGTTTTTTCTAGTTCAAAGACGAAAAAACAGCAATGGAATCTAAATGGGCGGAAGTACGAGCAATCTTATTAGAAAGAGATGGAGAGTTGTCTCGGGAAACTTCAAATGCAGATTGCACTTTTGATGAAGGGAAAAATAATGTAAATCAAATGACGGATACAATCAGTAATTTGGAAAATATCATTAATGAACAGTCAAGAAAGCTTGATCATCTTAAAGTAATTATCTCATAATTCTCATTTTTGAGTAGTTTTAACAGTTTTCAGGTCAAGTATTCTAATAATTTATTACTGTTGTATATATATACTATTCCCAGTTTACTTCTTCATATTGTTTTAACAATTTTTTATTTTTTTTGAATGTATTTTATATTTTATCTCTTTACAATTAATGAAGAAATAATTTTGAATATTATTTTGAGAAAGTTGCTCTCATTAATCATGGATTGATGACTTCCAGTTTTTAAAAAAACTTGTAACCATGCATTTTTAGATGGAAAGACGGAAGCTTAAAGTTGCTATTCGGCAGCTACTGGATTACAAATACAAGAGGACTCGTGATGAAAAGCAGCATGAAGAGCTAATTTCAGGCCTTTATAAACAACGAGGTTTTATGGATAGGGAATTGACGCTTCTTTTTGCTCTTAACGATTCGAAAGATGAACTTGTCAAAAAGTTACAAGCTGAACTCAGAAATATATGTTCTGAGAAATCAAAATTACATGATTTAGCGTCATTTGAAAATGACAAGGTTCATCTCTTTTTATCATAATTGATTTTACTTCTAATTTTTAAATTGAATCTTGAAGCGAATATTTTAATATATAAGTTGAAAAATAGTCGTTATGTCCGATAACTATGGATTGCATTGTAGCCATTCGAACGAAAATGTATGTTGAAACGTCAATGTTTTCTTCTTGTTACTTTTGTTTTGACTGTACTTTTTACTTAACAGTTCTTAATTTTAAATAGAACGATCAAATTCGACAGCTGCAATCACAGATGCAATTCATGAAACAAGAAAAATCTGAAATCATAGTTTTGTTCGAAAAAAGTAAGTGCGCACTTCAAGAGATGCAGATGCATACAAAGCGACTGGAAATGGAAAAAGAGCACTTGAAGTTACAACTACATCTTTCTCTGGGAAAAAATCAAGAAACCGAGGCTCAGTTTTCATTTGCAAATGTTAGTCAGCTTTCATCAAGACAAATGAATGCTATAGAAAGTACAAGTATGGAGAAAGTTGCCCATGAAGAAATTGTTCCATTGTCGGAACGCAGAAGTAACAGGTGGGAAAATATACATGAACTTGACGCAACTAATAAAGGGTTTGATTTTTGCCAAAATTCTTTTTAAGACATTTCACTTGTCATCCGCTATAGCTAATATGTTTTTTTATATTTTCAGTGGTTTTGTTTCTGTATTAATTTGTGTTTGAGATGTAGTTTTCCATTATGTTCGAAAATTTCTGCCCTGCTTCGATTAAATAAATTAATGATCCTTTTTTATAGCGAGCAACGATAAAATAGAAAATTCCTTTTTCTTTTGCAGAATTCTAAATTTCTTCACTTGTTTTATAAGTATTAGTTTTTGCTTTCGGTCATTTATGCATGTTTTCCTAGATACGTTGATTTGGAATCGATATTTCATCTAGATCATAATGACTTAAAGTGTGGAAACCAGTCATTAATGAATTCATTAACTTCAAAAGGAGGTAAATTTCTTGAAGCTTTTAATTCACCATATATGAACATGCATGCTCCATAAGAAATATAAGTTTTCATATTAGTTTTTCTGCAAGAAATTGTAAATGATTAAATTAAATTCATTAAGCCATAGACAATTTAATTAAATGTGAAATTAAGAATGGTCACTGGAACTGAACAACTGGGTATAATTTTGATTTCATAACTTGCAGCCAAGTAGGCATTACTGCGAAAGTACAAGTATGAACTTCTGTTACATCAATGTTTTTGCTTGTTGGTTTATGGATTATGAGAATTTTCAAAGAAACAAAGAAATAATTTCAAACTAACAAGCAAGAACACTTTGTTTCGGAATTTCAACTTTGTTTCTGTAAAAAAGTGTTTCAAACAACCTTCTTTCAGTGTTATTAGGTAATCGTAACTAGTTATTAACTTACAATAATCAGCCCATTTTCAGTTATTCAGCATTGCGAAATGGGAACAATGACAGATTTTATTCAGATATCTCAAGATACTGTTCAAACTCCCAAGCATAGATCTAAAATCAAGTTGTTTAAAATTAACAGTGGAGAAGAAGAGCACTTATCACAGGTTCGTAAGATTATTTTTTTTAGCTGATTTGACTTTGCCGGCCATCGTTACAAATTCTTCGATAATGAAGGCTTATGATTATTACATATTGTTCATTAATAACCAAGTCCATTAATTTTTTACTTTGTGTAGGTTCCATTTAATTCAACGCGGGAAATCTCAATATCTTGTGGGTTTCTACTGAGGAACTGCAGCTCTTTTGGTATAGTAAAAATTTTAGCTGAATCTTTTTAGCTTATTTAAATCATTGAGCGCTGCTGAAAACATAAATAACTTGAGGTAATGTGGTATTTTTGTAATTGAAACGTAAGAATTCATAATTTCATTTTTTAGGTGTTTGATGTTAGTGGTAAAACTAATAATAATTCAATTCTGGAATCAGAAAATTTATTATTGCGTGAATGTATCGATCATTCCACTGAAATGCAAGATAATTTGACTGATGATATAAAGCAGCTCATGATATTGAATACTGAACTTGAGACTGCTGTGGAGGTACTGAAGGGTGAAATTTGGACCCTAAATGAACAACTGAGAATGGTGGGATTTTCTTTATTAAAAGGAATTAAATTCTTTGTGAAGGGGAAAGTAATTAATTTTTCAGTATAATAACTGATTTATTTAAGTTTCGAATTACTAGAAATAATTAAAAAGACCAATATAAATTAATAAGACGCCATATTATCCTTAAAAATATTTGAATATAAGTAGTACTGGAGTTATTTTAAGTCGTTAGTTGATCGCGAGGAGTTATCAAAAAAATTATACAAGGTATCGGAACTTCATGAAAAAGAAATTAAACGGTCTAATAGATGTGATCTGGATCAGCTGAAATATGTGGATTTCGGAAAACAACAGGTTTGTGTACAACAAAAATTTTCACTTTATGCTGGAACTTGCGTGAAAATATATCGCTTGCAGGAGGCTTTGGTAGCATATGAAAATAATCGCGATATGTCTGATTGGCAGATGGAGACTCAAGGTCTAGAAGGCAATCAGAAGGGGTTAGAAAGCGCTTTTATCCAACTGTCAAGCCAATACCATGATTTTCAAAAAGCTCACAATATTCCATATGTTGACATTCATTTATCCAAAAGCGACTGCAGTTCACAAACAGAATCGCAAAATGAGGCATGTGAATATCTCCAATTGAGATTTGGGTTTTTAGAATTCTTTCAGTTTCTATCGTGTAATAAGCTTCTCTGACAGTTATAGTCATGAAAAGTAAAGTGAATCTTTTGCTTCGTAAATGTAGTCAAATTGCTATATAAGTATTTTTGTGATGAAATGTGATAGAAAACATTCAAGGAGCACTCTGAAATGAAGAAAAATTGTGTCAGTAAGCTTGAACAGCGAAATACAGAGTTGGAGAGACATTATATGAAGCTGAAATATGTTCAAGATATGATACGGAAACAGTTTTTGGCGATACTGAAGGATGTCAAATATCTACGTGAAGTAAATATAAAAATATTAAAGGTAATATCTTTAGGAATATTAACTATATTGTCGATTATTTTTAAGAATCGAGAATCATTCAGTGTAGTCAATTTCTTTTAAAGCATTGGTGTGATTTTGTCATGTTTGAAATTATGGACCTTATTCAAATACTTTGAAGAGTAGTGAAGATTGAATTATGTTTATTCACTACATTTTTTACATTATTAATTTTTTATTTTTTTCTCATTTTTGCTATTTTTTCGTTGAAAATTATAAAAACAATGATCATATACACTAGGATTTCCTTGTTGAAAGTGTAGAAATGATGCAAACTCTGCTGCAAAGAGCTTCGGAAAAAGTTCTTCTTTGTTTACAACAAGAATTTCTAAAATTGTTCACCGAAGGAAAGTTGAAAAAAATGGAAATCGCATCTGCATTTGAACGGCTTGTTAATTTCCTCTTAGCCGTACGTTTATCTCTTTCAAATTGATCTTTTTATCTGTTGTTCTAAATTTCGAACTTGATTTGACTTTATTGAAATGTAATGCCTGTGTTCACTGTTGAGTGAATCAGTTGTAGTTTTATTTGAGTTTAACGGATATTATATAGATATGAATTGTGTTCTAAAATTGATCAAATAATGTGAAAACTTGTTATCTGAATTTATGTGATTATCTTCAATAAGTTTGCTATTCTTTATCAGGCCTACCGTCTTTAGAATTTTGATAAGATTCCTTACATTTTATCTACTCTGCACTTTGTTTGAAGTCGTTTAAGAAATGCGACAAATTATTTCAATTTTCAGGAAAGTGATTTTTCAAGAACACAGGGGATGACTCTTTCTCATGCTATCGATGCAGTTGAAAAAGAATTTAAGAAAATAAAATCTGAGAATATTGCACTTCGGAAAAATTTACAAATACAGAAAACTAATAAATTGTTTCTGGAAAAGAAAATGAAAGAGGTCATTTGTTTTTTGGATTGAGTTTTCGAATGTTATTGGTTTCTAAATTATTTCGTACATTATTTTGAAAGGCTTTTTCTTTGCACTTTTCACTTTCAGTACTTATTAGGATTAGAGGAAACGTTTATGTTTTGTTTACTCGCATTCTGTTACTTATTTTTTTTCTATTTAACAGGCTCTTGCTGAAAAAAATGAAAAATCAGAACTGAGGATTTGTGAATTGCAAAATTTGCTTGAGACAGCGCAGTCTTCATTAATAGAACATGTCAGTAAATGTCAACAGCTTCAGGCAAAAATTGATGAGGTGTCTTTTGATTAAAAGAAAATTACTATTGTCATACTTTTGAAACACTATCTTTTAATTTTTTTTGTAATGACTTTGAAGATTTAAATTGCTAATAATAATTATAATGATTATAAATTCATTTTTTCGTTAAAAATGTGTTGCCAGTTCCAGCTAAGTTCTGTAGTGGCTACAAATAATCGCACAGGTTGGTCTTAACTTCTATCACTTCTCTGCATTTATCATATTAAATTGTTGAGTTTACAAATGATATCATTAATGCTTTGCATGTTCTAAGCTTTCACGATTTTTAATTTTGGTTCTGTAAATTAACAAAATTTCCACTATAGGATAAATCGAGTAAAGTGTCTTATATTAAGTGAAGTATTTATCTGTGTCGTTATGATAAGAATCATTAAGACATCAGATATTGACAGAAATCCGGATGGTTTTCTCTGTAATATAGAAGGATAACAGGAATATGTTTATGATTTGCTTTTTAAACGGAAAAGTATAAACTGATGCTTGCAATAAATTAGCAATTAATTTTTCTTTGGAATGTTCGGGTTCTTCAGTGTTTTCTATTGTGCATGTATTAGAAGTTTTTGATTTCTACTTTAGTGTGAATTTTTTATATGTAAAAAAAATATAGCTAAATTTACAAGTAATATTTTTGTTAGCTTATGCAGTACTAACTTTTGAGAAATGTTTATATGAGTATGTAGAAGGGGGTTTCTTGATGCTGGCATGCGGCACCTTCTCCCCTCTCCAAAGAAAAGGTGCTAATTGATATTGCAGCAGTCAGAAGTGGTAACCAACCTATGGTTTGGTTTGGTAGTGATGATCTGTGGAAGTGCTCTACACCGTGTACGATTTGTCGTGAGCTAAAAGAAACAAAGCAACCAGTTTCAACACCGCAAATACAATTAGCCATTTTAGCGGCACGTTTGACGACTACAATAGCAGACAACGATGGTTTGGTTCGTTGCAATGCAGAGTTGGCACAAACGAATCTGAATTTGCAAACTGAAATTGATAAGCTGAGAAAACAGATGTCTTCTCATGACAGTTCTATCAACATCACCAGTAATGCTACAGTAACCGCAAAACAGTCGTCTGTGCAACACTTTTGTGAACATATACCTGAGCAGGCTTCTACATATCAATTGCAGTGTAATTGGGATGTAGAAGAAATGTATGATCACAAACCCAAAAACAGTTCCGAAGCTCACAATCATCGATTTTCCCCAACTAGTCAACCAGACGAGAGGATTAAGTCGGAGGAGTTATATTTGCTCGGTGAAGGAGTCGCAAACAGCAGTATAAGTGGGGTTACCATGAAAGACCCAAAAACAAAATTAGAAGATGCAAGGAAATATAACGAAAGTTTTAGAGAGAAAAATAAAAAATATTATCCTGAAGTTGAAAGGTTGGAAAAGCATCTTGAAGGTAGACGAAAGTGCTTTGTGAAATCCATAAGTAATGATAGAGAGGAAGATGTTAGAAATAGTCTCAAAATAACCCAAACTGAAGAAAACGAAAACAGAAGTGTTTCTTCGTTGGAAAATCAGAAAGAACAGTTGGTAGCAGCTATTGCAGATCTAACTCAGGATCCTGAAGGACATGAAGGAAAGTTGGAGGCTTCTGCTGTTCTGTTAAAAAAGGAAAAGGAAAAGAAATCCTCACTTCAAACTAAGCAAGTGCAAATATTTAAGACACGGAAGAATGTGGAAAATAAACAAGACATTCATGCATCTAATGTAACGTGTCATGAGTATCTTGAAGGAGAATCTTCCTTTTCTTGTAGGAAAATAAATCAGAGTTTATCAAAACAACAGCCTAATCTTCATACTGAAAAGTCAGAAAGAATAAATGAATGGAAAAGAAGGTTCCATGAAATTGAAGAACAGAATAGATTATTAAAGAATAATGAGCAAGAACTCAAGGATGCTCTTACATTGGCAAATGAGCATCTAATGAAAGCTCAATCCGAAAATGAAACTCTCAAGTTCAGAGTCAGCGGTTTAGAAGATTTGATGAAAACTAGAAATGTTATTTCGCAAACAAATCGTGAAGCTGAAGACGAAAATGTGAAGGGGAAGCAAAGGTTAATTTTACTTCGTGGATCTTAGTAATATTTTTCTTATTTCTTGGTATCCTGTAGCTTATTTCCACAGAAAGTAATGAAAATTTGAAACTATATTATTCTTATCGTCAACGTCTGATTTTCTCTGCTTCATTATTATGAATAAAGCAATTATATTTTTTTCAATTGCAGTCTGACTACATTTCCGAATACTGTGAATTTTGAAAAACACCGCCAGCTTCAAGAAAAGGTATTCCGAGAATTAGATAATTTTTAAATCAGTAAGTACGGAGTTAGATTCAATTTTCATTGAAACATAAATTTCGGTTTAAGATGACTTATTAAGTCTATAATTTTGTAATTTAGGTTAGCGAGCTGCGTAAGCAATACAAAAAGGCTATTCATGACAAAGAGCTAGCAGAAAAATTTGCTGATGCAATGAAACAGAAGCTTAGTAATTTAAGCGAATATGAGAGAGAAGTGATTTTACAGTTTTACTATAAATTAACGTAATTCTTCTGTCCGCTCTAATTTTTATGTCACTGTTCAAATTATCATCTGATAAGTTTGTGTAGGCTATGTTTGAGGTTTTACTTTATTATTATTATTATTTTCGATCCTAGATCGTTATCTTACCTTTTATTATAACTTTGTGCTATCAAAAGATTGAAATCAGTATTTAAGGAATTATTTTTTAAAGAGCTTATCCTATTATCAATTTTGTATTTTTTTAAGAGAAGAGACAATGATGTATCTTCAACGTCGAGCTCAGTTTGCTCAAATACTACCATGTTTTCGAATGAATCTGACGAAATGGGTAGTTTGAGAAACAAAGAATCTATAGTACCAAATAATTCACGTGATGAAGTATATAGCAATTCTGAACAGTTTCCAAATAATAACTAAATTTCTGATGTGGCTAACCATAAGTTGCGACTAGAAAATAATATACCGTGTTTTATTTGAAAATTGTTCAATTTATAGTAACTCGAGTGAAAAAAAAAATCTTTCTATATGACTTTTTTTATTACGGCAGCTGCTCGTCTTTCTTAAATCAGATTATGGGAATTTAGTTCCTTTTTACTTTAAACTTTTGTAAGTATGAAAATCTTGATTAAATGAAGCATTTTCAGTCCTTCGAACTGATGATACAAAGAACCGTTGAAAATTTCAATCAATTGGTTAGTATTTAAGCTTATTAAAATTTCACTTTCTGTTCATTATATAACTAGATTAAAGTAGGATGTGAACTTGTCAGTTATCACTTCTGCTTAGCTCTGAATGCTTACCATTTTGTTGGATCAGGTCATTTAATTTTGTTTGAATTTTGCAGTTTTTTTGTTTATTTGTTTATGGTATAGCTGGATAGCATATCTGCACATAAGCTGCCTCTGTGTCTCGAGAAGATGTCTTGATTTTTAGATTCTATTTAGTAATTACATGAGTTAATACATGAAAAATCACCAAGTTTCACTATTGGAATCTTTATAGTCATCATTTTTTTCGCTCCGCATCTTTCAGAATTGTGATAAGTTACGGCGGCGAAAAGTCGGTGGTGGATTCCGTGGACGTGAACGGCTGTAAATGAAAGTAAAATGAGGAAGTGATTTGTTTTCAAAACTCTTTCTGAACATTATCATTTCATTTTTTTATTCCCTGCTTTGTTCATTTCTCCTTCTCGGTGCTTGAGTTCTTCATTAATTCTTGATGTCTACCCCCTTGAACTGTTGGTATTGCTTAGAGATTGTCTTTATTCTTACTGATTTAAAACTCTTTTGCCTCTAATTGTTAGTTTACATTATCTGTAATAATTTCCCGGATTAACTCTTGAACCATAATTTATCTTTCATTTCTTAATCATTTAAGCTTAGCGCTCGCTTTTGAAGTGCTATTTTTGCTAGTGAGTAGTCATCTGCACAACTTTTTCAAGGTTTTTTCACTTCTTTTGAAGAGCTGTCCTTATGTAATAAATTTATGGGCTATTTCTTTCGAAAAAGAACATTTTGAAAAATGTAACAAGACACAATCATGATTAGCAATAAATAAAAAACGATGAAATTATTATTCTAAATAAAGCAGTGAGTGAAATTAGAAGCAAAGCAGAAGTGAAATGATAAGTCTCACATAGTAATGATTTTCTGGTTTTGGGAATTTTCAGCTTTGGTAGCTGAGATAAGTTTTTCGAGTGATTTTGCTTTGTGCATGTTTTAGTTGAATTAAGTACCGGAAATTAATGAGACCTAAATGCTATAAAGTGCACGATATATTATAAGGTTATTCAGTTTATTTGTAGTGTTTACAACATTGTGGTGGAGTTGATGAGTTGTATGAGCTGAATAGGAAGTTCACGGAATATTTTGTTGGGTTAAATGAGAAACCGCAATCACTTATGGTAGTTTCTGAAGGAAGCAGTCCAAGTAGTGCTATTCTACATGTGGCAGATTCTCTGCAAGCAGAAACCAGTGTTACAAGTAATATTTACAGAAATCATTTGTGCACTGTCCTTTTAGTTCTGAAGTTGAAAATCATAAGGTAATTTAGCTCAAAAAACTTAAATAGCAGTTAAAGCTAAAGTGTACATGATGCTGAAATTTGTGAGATTCACTGATGAATGTCACCCGATTGCTGCAAACTGCAAATTATTGCATCAAAGTATTGCATGCTCAGCATATAGTGAAACAAAGTAGGAGCCGAACATTCTATGGCAGTTTGTTGAAATTGAAGATTGCGTTACTATAAGTCTCTTTTTTGAGATTGCGTTACTATAAGTCTCTTTCGAGGAAAGTGAAACTGAGACTTATAGTAACGCAATCTTCAATTTCCTGGCTAGTGTAAGATTGTAATAAAATTTTTCATTTTCCAGAGACTCCTGTACGTTCAGAAGTGAAAGCAGTTCAAAAACAAATAGTAAACAAGCAGGGTTTGATTGATACCTCCGGTAAAGTTAAAGTCATATTAGTTGCAACTGATGGATCTGCTTCATGCGCTCAAAATTCTGATATATCATTTCCGATTATATGCATTGAAATGGATGCGAGAGTGGGATTCCCAGTATCTCAAAACGTTGAAACTACTAAAGCTGTAAAAAAATCAAGCCAAGAGTGTATTAGGAACTGCCATATAATTGTTTCTGAACCTTGTCGTCTTGAGAAAACATCCAAAAATGGTGGTGTCTTACGATCAAAAAGTCTTGATTCTTCTATTTCTATCACAAATGGAAAACAATGTGCGAAGTCTGCGAAGTTGACTTCTACAGGCACGTACATTACTTCTACTTCAAGAACACGCTTGAATTGTGAAGAGGCTGTCGAAACAGCTCACAGCGATTACATCAGTCAATGTGTGCAGATGGAAATTCCGACAGATTTCACACTTTTAGGCAATTTGCGTTATATCTTAACAACATGTTTGCAAATGCAACACACATGTCAAGTTGAACGGGAAGGAGGTGCACCAATAAATAGTGATTACATGAAGCAATTAGAGCAAAAAATTAAAACATTTGTGGGACTTTTGACTGAAACCATAGAACGAAATACGTGTGTAAAATCCAAAATCTTGCTCTTTAATCTTTCTCATGGCTTGAATAGTGAGCAATATACCAATTGGAAATCTACGCAACAGTTTAATAGCGTTGCTAATCAGAATACAACTGATTTATTGGTGATAGCAATCGAAGGGTCAAAAGATCATTCTTACGTTAGTTAAAATTTAGAAATTGTTCAAATTGACGAAATATTTCTAAGAGTGTAATTTAATTTTTTAGAAGCTTTAAGTTAATTTTTGAATTATTTGTTTTGTTGATCGTGAAGCGAAAATGAGTTTTTGAAAATTTTGCAGGAGCAACTTGACAGTGAAGCTTTGCAGTCCTCAGTAACTAAGAAAATTGAATTAATTAGTAACTTTCGTGCAATTGATGACAATAATAGTACTGATTACTCAATTTCGAAAAAAATTATATCTGAACTACGGAGTGAAAATATAAAATTGAAGGAAGTGAGTTCGAAGTAAATTATTGTAATTTTATTACTGAATCATTCTTACGTTGATTAATACTTGACTCTGTCAGTGAAGAGAAATTTCTTCAGTTGATTTAAAATATATATTTGAAAATAATAAAGTATACTGAAGGAACTAGAGCATGCAAATGATAAGTTGGAATGTCTCAATATGGAATTAAAGAATTGGGCAAATAAGTTACGAATAGCCGAGAATGATTTGAAGCAAATGAAACAGCATAACTGCAAGTGAGGAGATTTTTTGAGCACTGCAATATTATTTATTTATTTATTTATTATTCATTTCATTATTTGCTGTTGCAAAGGACTCGTTACAAAAATAATAAAAAAAATCTAGCATTGATTGATATATATGCGTTTCAATTTGAATTAAAACTTATAAATTAATAAGATTGTTTAGGGATAATAATATTCAAATGTAGTCGCGACAAATTATTGGAAATAAAATTTAACTATATCATTTTGTCAATTATTAATTGCAATATGTTTTCAATCTAAATTAATTTCACTGGTTTGCATTTGTTATTATTTCAGTTTAAGCCAAGATCTCATTCGTTTACAGAAAGTTTTTTCATGTGGTCATTTAAAATGTACGAAAGAAAGCATTATAAAACATAACAGGATGGAGGTAAATAGTTATGAGCTAGAAATAAATGAACTTTAAAATGTTAGACATTTTTAAAAGAGTTCAAATTCCTAATTATTTTTTGTAGGTTAAAAATTTGCTAAATTTTGAAAAAAGTTTAAGAAATCCTAAAATTCGATCCATGTTCGCGTCAATTTTAATTCATGCGAATTCACTGATCTTTCGTTATATGCAATTTTAGACTTTGGAAAAATTATTTTCATATTTCTAATTGGAATATTTGAAATGCAAATCGGACTTTTACTTTATAATTCCTTTACTTTATCAGGAAACAATACGTTGCAAAAAGATCGTATTAATGAATCACAAAGTCCAATAATGATGAAAAAGTCATGCATCAGCTTATATTTAATAATTCATTATTTCAGCATGGTACTGACGAGATTTGTGATTTAAAAATTGCTTTCGAAGGAATGAGTCACAGCAAACAACAGCTTCATGACCAGGTATGACATTACTTTATTTTCTTAGGTGTAATTTTTTGGTTTAATTAATTTGCTTTGGATACGTAGTTTATTACAATCATCCAAATTAACACTCCATAAATTCACTCTATTTTTGGTAATTTTAATCACGCTAGCATTATTATAGCTATATATTGCTATGGAAGAACGGCGACAGTTGCTTACTTTGCGCGATCATCTTTCATCACAGCTTATGGAAACTAGTAAACGAAGTAAAGGGTTTGAAAGGAAACTGCTGGTAGCATCTGCAGCACGAAATCGAAATACATTGAAAATCATTGAAATGGAATCGGAAATAAAGAAGCTGAAGGTTTATACGCACTAATTTAGTAGATTGGAATATTGCATTTTCCAAAATTAGATCTATTCATAAAATTATTTGGTCGAATGTTTAGAGGTGTCATTTTCAAATTCAAATAGTTGATATTAAAGACAGACTTGCAAGTTGTGTCGCGAAATCAAGAAGTAGAGAAAGTAAAAGTTCCATATGTAACTGTTGACACTGGCTGTCCAGTAACTCCGGTTTTTTCTGCTTCAAGAAGTACCTCTGAAAACGTACCAGAAAGGTCTAAGTCGACAAGTGCTGCAGTGTCAGAAGATGTAAAACAGCAAATATCCAAAAATTCTTTTAGTGTTCTACGTTCAGTGAGTTCATTAAACCACAATTTTGGTTTTTAAATCATAACAAACTTATTTATGATTTTGGAAAGTTTAGGCACAGCTTATTCACATTTTTGGCGAATATATACGAACGATTCCTTAGAATAAGTACAGATGTATGGACTGTTTGTACTTGCTGCAAGTATTATTCCAACTTTATGACTCATCATATATCAGAGCAAAGTATTTTACTCCTGATGGAATTATATCGAATGATTTCTTGTATTTTTCATTTTCAGTTAGAAGAAGGAGTCAGTGTCGAAAGTAACGAGAAGTTTGATGTTGATATTCAAAAAGTATGTTAGTATCAATATAATGCTCATTTCGTGAATTCAGAAACTTTTTAAGAAAGTTCTTGTTTAGGTTTAAGTTGTTTTTTTCTACCCATTCTTTGCGAGATTTAAAAGCAAATTAAAATATAAAAAGACTGTCAGTGATCGCAGTGATTTCCAAACATTTTTAACACCATTCTGATAAAACATTATATAAGAATAAAAATGAAACCACATAATTTCATTTAAAAATGTAATCTAATTAAATTAGTGCTCATGTGAAATGCATTTTATCAGGGTCCAGAAATGATCCCTGCATCGATTCCTTGGCCAGACTTAATTTATCAGATTCGTGGTTGCCTGAGAAGTTTCCCACATCGACGAAACACTATTAGAATATATCTTCGCTGTTTACTCATTATTTACATAATTTTACTTCATGGTGCTTTTTTACGGTGCAATTTGTTTTGAATTTGATGTATTTTTTAATTTTTTTCTTGGTGTATCTACTCATTAAATAGTTACGCGTTTTTGGAATGGGATTTAAATCTAAACAATACTTAGTACTATGCAGTATTCAATTTGACACTAGTTTTGCTTCATATTAAGATCTTACCTATGCTTTTTAAATTGCTCTCTTCGATGACTTCAAACATTTAATTCTGCTATTTGTGCGGAAGTGGAAACAATTAAATTCGATACTATTCATTTATCATACTTGGAAAATGCATTCTTAAGACTTGATACTATTACTATTAGTAATATTATTTTTGAGTTTAGTAACTACTTTTGTGTTCAACAATTTGACGTGTCTATTTGTACGTGTTTATTTACTCTAGCAAGTGTTCCTTATATAATTAGTTAAATTTTTGAGTGTTATCCTCACTGAAATAGTGCCAAATAACATTTTTCTTGTTGTTTTTGTTTAAAAAATGGGCAACTACACAATATTACTGTTACTCATCATCTCTCAGCATTATTTTTATCATTTCTAACAGTGCTTGTATTTATTAAATTTTCTTCATGGTACTGATATCCTCAAAGTTTCTCGATGAAAATTTGCTCAGTTTAGTGCAACTGTATTATTGAGCTTTCTCTTCCTACTATAAATTTAATTCCCTCGTATATATCATTCCATTTATGCGTAAATAGTTTATAGTTACTTGTTGTATTAAGTTAACATTAACTACAGTCTAGTTTGTAGAGTAAATTATATTTTATTGCTTTTAAAGCATGAAACTTTATTGAAGCAATATTTATTAACTGACTACTGAACTTGCTCATCAAATTGATTCTCTTTAGTTTCTTTGTACTGAATTCTGAATCGCAGCGTAATACAAATATTTTGGGTATTCCCTGCAGTGATATTTAATAAACATTGGATATCTAATACAGCTAATGTTTTATCAATATTATCTGAAATGCTTAATAAAGATATAATTGACGTAAGACAGTTATTTTAGAACCATTTTTTCATAAATTACATCAAATACTTTTTAGCATTACTGTGACTAATATATTATTTCAATAAAATGCACATTAGGCGATAACATTTAAATTCGTACGGTAGCGATATAGCAGTAATAATACAAATTGCCAAGGTGAGAAGCATAGATGGCAGACTTGAGTTCGATATGATCAATATTACCAAAATGATAATTTTACACATCAACCAAAACGTCTGCAATTTTCGACGCTTCAATTCTATCTCCACTCAAATTCATATCTCATTTTTCGGAATCATTCCCGAAGATGCAAAGATATTTAGCCTGACAGTTATGCTTGAGGAACACAAGGTCTGGGGTTATGAGGTTATAAGACTGAAATTATGACAGGAAATGGACTAAATATTAGTCGCGCCATAATTCAGTTATTAAGTTAAATCTAGAAGGAATATGAAAATTACCGAAAAAATGATGTGTGGCAGAAGAAGTTTTGCGGAATTGGTAAACAGTCCAACGAGTAAAGTAAATATAGAAAGCATCCAACAAAATGATAATATACAAATTGATATAACCACAATGCTGAAAACTGTTTGATATTGATGTGTGTTACAGAATCAAACCGCAAACAGCTATCAACAATCAAAGTTTTAAGAAGTAACCATAATCTACACACATAACGAATATTATTAATACGTAGTACTAAAAGTGTTAATCATCGTAAGTTTGACTTGATTTTTAGATTAAGTTTTTCAAAAAGTATAAGAATTTATAAAACTGATCATAAATGTACTATATAGATTATGATTTTTTCTTAAAACATGAAAATAATCTATAGATGACAAATCTTAATAAAGTTTTTCAATTAGTCGAGTAAATAATACTAAGATGTGTACAAAGTATGCACCAAGTGTATCATTTTAAATAATGATAAAATAACATAGTTTACTCTCAAAGTGACAAATTAAAGTACCATAACTAAAAATGATATTCATTCGAATGTTTTAATTATGAATTAATTGTTCGTATGAATAAGAACTTACCGACCTTCATTGTCATGAAAATCATAAAAGTTTCGATGAAGCAAAATAGTATTTTGGAATAAATGACTGCAAACATACATGAGTTGTAAAAAGGCCAGTAATGAAAGTGTTCTCTTTACTGGATAATACTTTGGTTCCACATTAGATATATTTAATTCCTTGTTAATTTTTCCTTTTTCTTCATTCCATTTTGGATAATTTTGGAGCATTTGTAAGCAGACCGAAAAATATTTATACTGTGAAATCTAAGTGTGTAATTAATTTGAGACCTTAAACAATTGTTTAATCCATGAACAAGCAAATAACTAATTATCCAGTCTCTTCCACAATTCTAAAATATATATTGAAGGAAAGTTTTGATACCTAAATACAAAATTTTTATCAAACTCGTCTGCTTGCTTTCTAAAGTTGAAGCAACCATTTGAACAACTAAATCACATGTTCTGACAGTCGTACTTGAGATGCAAACAAATAATTAATGTATATTGCAAGTTTTATATATAAACAAATTATCAATATATTTATCACAATTAATACCAAAGAACTTGCATTGCTAGCAAAGAATTGAATAAATTCTATGCACCAAACTGCCACTTCTATGTTTTGGATATTTGATATTGTAAATTGTATATGAAGCGCTGCTTTATTTATTTATTTCTTGCTCTCGATGACTGAGAATGATAACTTTGTAAACCTGAAAGCAGTTTTTGCACATCCAAATTGCAATTTGACTGCGACTTTTAAAAGAAAAATCAACACCACAAGTTCAAGAACCTTGCAATGCAAAATTTAATTTAGCAAATGTAGAGAACCATATCATCCTCCTTTATTCCAGAATTCTTTACTGACTTTTCATAGCCCACTGAACTCCAATAAGTGTTACATCTTACAGTATTTCTGCAACGCTGTTTCGAGAAAACTAATTCTTCTTTTAAAAATTTTTAGTAGAAAAAAAACTTGAGATCACTTCGAGCACCTAAAAATGTATATATATAATAATTCGAGCGAAAGAACTGAATCAAAAATAACATTTATTCACAAGCTATATTTCATTTCAAGCAATACAAGTGCACCACCTCAACAAATAAGTAGATAAGAACCGCACCTTAATCTTACCTAATCTAGGTGTCGAAAAAAGCAAGTTCTATCAGGTTAGATGACATCATAAATCCTATAAAGAACACTTACAACTTCCAATTTGTGATACAATTATCAGGAAGAATATCGGTACTACGCAAATCTAAGTAGTTACCAATAGTCTATCATAATTGCAACTTTCGAATCATAAAATGGAATTATATGCTTTTATTGGCTTCAATATTCACATATTTATTTTTATGCTTGCACTGTCAAGTGATCTCGCTGAACTTCATTCTCAGGACGATAACTATGACTCGAAACCACACAACATTTGTTAATTTCATTTAATAAATTCTCCTCCCGACCTTAGTTATATGAAAGTGAATTTGACTACTGCACTTCCTGATTGCATTTCTATTAAAACTAGGCAAATTATTTAAATGATTACATAAAACCAAGCAGCTTGAATACTCCCAGAAAATAAAGTAATTGTATGATAAGTCACAAAATCAGCAACAACTCTAACTTGCTGCTATCACTGTCAAAAATTCATAGAGATAGTCGTTGCAAGAATTTTACATGTAATGTCCCCTTACGCACGAGATATATTAAATCGTTACTAACATCACTGCATTAAGGGAAATACGACAAAAATAAATGATGCAATAGATTTTAGGTATGAGATACCAGCCTTACAAATGAAAAATCTAATGAACCTGATTAATTTTTAAAATGTCATAAACGAACCTCATTTTATAAGACATTCATTAAGAATTATGGAGAAAATCAGAGTAGAATGTGAAAACTTAAATTAATCAGAAAATAAACAAGGACAATGGTTTAAATATGAATATTTCGTTGTTCTCATTTATTGAGGTTACAATTCTTCTAATTACCAATGATGTTGATTTAAAATGTTTCGAACACTGCTAACAACTTTCTATAGACAATTATTACTGCTGTCTGCAATGTCAATTTTGTAAAAATATGAGTGACAGCACTAAATTAATTCAGAAAATAAACTGAAAATTTATCAATTGAAAAAAAAATTCTTACAATGAGTTTTACCTTCCGAGATTCCGCAACCAGAATATTTGAGACTGTTTCTGTACTATAATACAATTGTATTCTTGATTACAACCATTCATCTTTTACAAAGTTCAGTTACCTAGATACCTCTACCTAAACTACGGTTCATAAAATGCTAGCTAAAGAAAAACTACAAAATTTCTGTCAAGCATTTTTGACCAATAAATGAGAAAACCAACTTTTAGATGATATAAAAGGCACTAAACATAATACGTACAAAGTGCAGAAACATTGGCTTTTTCCAAATAAAAATCTGAAATGTTTTTTGAAAATTTTTAGGGATCGAAATTCGAAACAGACTTTTCAAAATGATGAAATCTGAAACTTCTAAGTCAAGCTTTACAGAGTAATAAATGAGAGCATAAATGAGAAACAATACACAAAAGTTTTGAACACATGACAAACGAAACAATATAAACATGCTTAATATTTTCGAATAAAAAAAAACATTATTATGTTATTATTATTTTTTTATTACTATTGTCATTATTATCGTGGAAAACAAGCATTCGAGATGAGTTAATCAGCCGGTCAAGTTTAAATAGAAATTACAGATTATGTGGCTTTTCTCCACGCAAGAATATTTCTCCCCGTCCCACCTGCATAACTGCTGGATGATTATTTGCATACTTGGATTTGAGTTTGATGGTATAAAGAGCACGTTCGTAGCGGTTGCGAAAAACACCATCATAAATCAAACCATCATCCCATTTAATCTTTATCTGCAATAGCAATTCAGTACAAAGACTAATGAAAATAGTTAAGTGACTGCTTATTAATGACTAGCACAGTAAAAGAAAACAAGAAATAATTGAAGTATGGATAAAATGGGATGATCGAATGCTCCAGCAGATAAAGATATCTAAAATAATTCACACTGGACGCTGAATCAGTAATCTAAAACTTTTAAATCTATAACCAATGCATAAATATTAGTGATTGATCATTTTTTTCTAATATGCAATAGAAAATTAAGAAAAGTGTATTCAATACTTCGCACTTTTTTCATCAATCACTAATATACCTTTCGGGCATGTCTGCATAAAAGCATGTATTTTCTAATTATGTGAACAAAGAAACGAATAATACTTTTTACTACTTATCAGTTTAATATTATGAAAAATTAATATTATGAAAAATTAAACTGATAAGTAGTAAAAAGATTTTCAGTAAAGAATACCAACTCTGGATAATTTAGTACAAATCTAAATGATTCACAAATAAATAACAAACCTTAGCGCCAGGCACATGCCATCCATTGCAATGGAAGCGTGAACATTCGCATTCGATGATGTCTTCTGATGGCAAATCATCACTCCAATTGCGATCCATAAAATTTACCGTACAACAATCATGATATTCAATCCCTGATACTGTACCCTTTAATAAACGACTGCAGTCTACTGAGCACACACGAACACTCTCTCCAATTGCCACTGGTGAGGAACTTTCTTCACCTAAGAATTGGTGTAATTTATCCTTAGAAAGTGTTATCTAAAGATGCAAATCAAAAATTTAGTCTTTTAGAAAGAAAATTCCTAAACACTGTTAAAACTACTTACTAATATTATGTTCTGGACAAACCGCCACGGTAAGATCTGGCCAGTTACGAAATTCAAAAGATACACCTGCTAATCGGCCACATGTAGCATGAAAGTATGTGTCATCGCATGAAAGACATTTCAATAATCCTGTAAGATGCTAATGTTGCTCACAATCTGAGTAAATTCACCACGCACGTATTAAAACTAATATTGCTGCTTACCTTCACGTGAATTCAAGCAAAATTCACACTCGAATTTGCCCCGTTCACAATTTTCTCCAAATGCAGCTGTATATTCATGGTTCATAAGATCTGCATGCTTATTTGGTGCACAAAACTTTGGAGGCGGTAAAGTGTAGGCAGATGTTAGCTTTTCCGCATCCAGAAAAACTGTGCGACGATTTAACAGGGCGCAAATAACATGAACAAAATCTTCTCCAGCCTGTGTGAAATAATAAATAAAATCTCAAGTTAAACAGAAGACTCTGTAACAGTATTTAATAGATAGAATCCAAATCTACATTATAAAAATGGACCAAAAATATATAAAACTTAAATCAAGCACTTCTTAGAATGAAAAAACAAATAAGGAGCAGCTATCAAAAACAAACATTTTCAGCTGGTATGAGCGCACCACCACGTAGTTCACACAAATGACAACTAGCTGAATTTATCAATAATTCATCTTGTCTGTTACAACGCACACACTTCCATGTAGTACTATCTTAAAAAAAAGTACACATGTAAGGATAAAAATATTACTGGATGAAATCTGAAAATGAAATGGGGGCAAAGAACACAAAACTATTTGAGGGGAATATTTTATGATAGCTCTTAACACTAACTACCAGGAACATTTCCTGTTGGATAGCAACCCTCATGAACAACAACAAAACAATTTTGACATCTGAACAATCGATCTTCTCGAGAAATATCATCTTCGATACCATATGTTTCTGGATTTGCTTTTGCATAATACGCACGTTTGACAAGACGTCGTGACCTGAAAGTAACATGATATGAGAAAAAAATTTTTGCGCTCGAAATAAAAGCAAATCAAGATTCTTGAATATTCCTGAAGTACTATAGCAAGAAACAAATGAAAGTTTAGTAAACTGCAACGAATAAATAAATAACGCATACGTCGATGGCAAATTTTTTTTGGTCTCCAACAACGGTTTTGGCACAAAATATTGACAAATGGCACAATGCGGTGATTCACGAGCACGTCGCATATTGAACTCTTTCTCAGCATAAAAATTACTTCGCAAATTCGACCACAAGTTACGAGCCTATTTTCAGAAAGATGTATGCAATACAAAGATACATAAAATATGATATGACTGATGAAAAAAACAGCGATAAAAAGTTAAAGTTCGTGACAAACACATTACATTATTAGTACACCGAACATCAATACCGGCATACATCACAAATGAAAGATAACTATAAACATCAGAGCAGAATGACCGATTATCTGTTCTATTATCGTGTGAATAAAATCATATAAAAAATTGTTACTTCCTTTTTCCATCTGGTGCCTATTACCATATTTGCAACTACCATAGATGTTTCTTGTTCAATATTAGCCTTCTTTTCAACAAACTCTGAAAATAAGTAACATACAGCTACGTAATGAAAGCTCCAGCAAGAAAACTAATTATAAGAATTCAAACGGGGATCTGAAAACCATACTTGAACTTTCTGCTTTGCTACCGTCCTCAACATGTGGTCCACGTGTGCCTCCACTTTTCTGTGTTTTTCGACGTTTTTTCCTCTCAACTGCTAGTTCATCATATACTGGCTGGCGTTTTGAACTCATTACTTTCTCTGAATACGACCAAATATCATGAATTCTACTAATGTATATTCACACAATCTGACAAGAAATACTTTGTTAAAATAGAGTGAATGCATTCACATATAGCATAAAGAGCATCACTGAAACTACTTTTGAACCGTATAGAACATATTTAATTGACTGATCTGTAAATATATCTTAAACGATGTTTAAAAACTGACTGTTGTCTTTAGCAACTCGTTCTCCGTACCAATACTGATACCACTCATCATATTCATTCTTTCTAAAAGCCTTCATAAATGGTCGCATATCGATTTCAACGCTGTCCGAACGACAAGAACATACCAAAGCATTTTTACCTGAAAAAGCATGGGAATTAGATACATGCCGTTATCTCAATCCCAATCATTAGAACTGAAAAATCTTGATGTTAAGCCTAAGATACAATTGAAATAGTTGAAATCATTACCAAAATCGATCCATCTGTCGGAAGCAAAATTTGTTGATTCTGCACAATTATATCCAATATTGAAACCCATGTGATAGCCCTAAAACATTATTATTCTAAATTTTTATGTCTACAACGAAATCTCCGAATTATAATCTTGAAGACAACGAAAATAAAAAGAACGTTGCGAAAGTTCATTTTTCATTAAATCTCAAAAGTTATCATTTGAAATTCATTCATACTAATACTTACTCGTGGAAATGTGATTATGAATTCGTTTGCATACTGAACCATAGTGCCATATCCAATATGGTTCTTTCGTAAAACTTGAGGAGAGATCATGAATGTTTTGTGACGTAAAAATGATTTACAAGATTTTGCTGCCGATGGAAAACATTGCGCAGCAAAACGCTCAAAACGATTCAATGAATCCGTGGCTATAGCATACCAGAACTAAATAAATTATACACTAGTACCTGAGAAGTAGTCCACTTGTAGTAATTAAAATGTCAAATATTTAAATGAAATCTTTTGCTATGTTAACTATAAGCAATTAAAGAAAAGACAGAAAAGAAACAGTGATTAGTAACTTCATTTTGATATCATTTTAATTTTTAACGTTTAACTTGTAAGGTATCCAACTCAGTCACGACAGAATAACTAAAAGTGATTTATAAATTATCATGTAATGTTAAGAATATTAAAAGACAATAAATTACACGACAAGTCAACCACACGGAAAAATAATAAGTTCTTGACAAGAAATTTCCTGAGGTAATCAGTTAATTCAAAGTAATTGAGCCATGGTTCAACACCAACCTTTGGTTTACCAAAGTGAACATAATTGATAGAATAAAGATCCATATCTTCTGAATGCCAAGGAAAAGTTGTTTTCCACATGCCAAAATACAAATAAACTGTATTTACTCCTTTAATTTTCACCTAAAATGAATTAATTTACAATATATGGAGCTGAGAAACATAAAACATTTCACGTTGATGCGCTTAAAATTGAATACGAGAAACCACTACAAATCAGGCACCCAAAATTACAATAACTCACACTGCTTGGGTGACTGCACTTGTATGATGTCGATAAACTGGATATCTGCTCAGCAATCGGAAATAATGTTTAACAACTTAATTAATACATGTTATCTGGCAAGCCGCCAAATAACTAGAAATAAAATTTTGATTTACAAATTTTTGCATTATATATTAAGTAAATAAGAAATTACTCACTCCACTATCATTAAGCATATCGAGAATGGTGCCCAAGTGATTCATATTGAACTCTTTCAGATTTTTGTCACAAATAGTTCCTGGTGTATCAGCTCCATAAACAGGCTCCCCTTGCAATATGTGTTTCCAATAATGCCTAAATAGTTTTAAAAGTCTTTTATTTTTTGAAATACAAACACTGTGCAAAACGATTTTCAGTCAACAATTTTTGTTGACATATCAGATGAAAAGTTTCGACGCTTCGTATTTTGCATTATAAGAAAAGTACATTATTTTTATGTTCAATTTAAGTTAAAATTAATCGAAAAATGAAATTGGAAACACAAAAAGCGCAAGTGATATAAGATAACTCTATCAGTTACAACAAATCTTCGCAAATATTTTAGCTTTGACTATTCTGACCTAGTATCAGAAAACTCACTTTTCGATTTCTTGAGGTGACAAATCATCTTTTGGCAAAGAATACTTTTTTGCAAGAGTTCTGAATTCCGGCACAGAAATGGATCGTCGATATAATCTATTTGTCTTCGTATACACTCCGGCACTTCCCTCAATTTTTTCTTTAACGGGCCTGAAATAAGGTATGTTATTAGTTAAGCTTCTATAAAGTTAAAAACTGATTAAAAAAAATACTAATGGTATTTGTGATTATACACTTTATAATAAAAAATACAACTATGATGATAGTATAGTGCTTACTGATCGATAACATAATTGTCGACATCTGAGTAGTCACCTGATATTCTTGCTTGAAATTCCGGTGGCGGAACAATCTGAAATTCGAAGTTTTGTAATGCATATATTTATATAACTACCTACAGTCAGAATAAAAACAGCAATTTCAAGAAGGAAAGCATGATATAATCGCTAACAGAACGTGGCTCAGTATGCTAGTGCAATTTACGCAACTAAAGAAATGAAAGAGCTTACAATTTAAATATGCTACTACTCATCACGCAGTCACTTTCACTTAAACTCAATATTTCGATAAGGATATGCACCTGCTGTACTCACTACAGCAGCAAAACTGCACCACACTACTACCCTCGAATTTTCACTCTCTACACTGAAAACTTTATCATGCATATCTTACTAACATTCTCTACTTTTACAGTCCACCACTAAATGCAAGCTTTTCACGCTTTTCACATAAGCATCTCTTGTTCTGAAGCCATTCTTCAAAAATATGCACATATAGTCATCAACAGCTAGTTTTCTGAATATATAACACCACTGAAACTTTTCATAGCAATTTACGCTATTCTCTGTAGCACAGCGAGAGTGATACCATATATGTGACCACTTAAGAAAACATTTCAAGTAATGCCAAACAGATTTGTGAGTGTTGCAATCTCTATAAGTAAAGCCGTACCTTACAAATTAGTGCAAGATTCTTTGGTGGAAATAATATTAAACTATAGCTCTACAATGAAGGCATCTGAATAATAACTGCAATAGACATTGCTGCAAAACATGCATAGATAAATGCAAAACATATTACGTGAAATAAAATAAATATAAGTAATCTAGCAACGATGATAAATAAATGTGTGATAAATAAACGCGTTACCATTTGTATGTAACGTGTCTTACTTATTAGTGACGACGTTCAGTGACAAGATATAGTTATGAAGAATTAACGATTGCCATATATCAAAATTTTTAAGGCTATTTTCATAGCAAAAGTAAATATAAATATCATCGCTGCCATATCACTTAACGTTGTTGCCTACTATTACTCCAACACTCACTTCATTTACAGACTGAAGGAGAAGGTCCAACATTATTCTTAAAACAATGCAATATTATACATCACATTGGAAGCAAGTTAGTCTAGATATAAACATACAAAAATGATTCACATTAATACCTTGCACAGTTACACATACACAAAACTTAGAGCAAACAGTTAATAGTAGTGGTAAGAAAAGATTAAATAGCAAAAATGCACAACACCTCAAGCAGTACAGTCAGAGCGAAAGCAAAAGTATATCCTATCCATCCTTTAAAGGTAGGCAAGACCTTGGACAAAAAAGATGCAATTTTGGCAAGCAATTTAATACAGTTATCAGTTACCAGTTACCATTACCAGTTATCAAAACTATTAAATCACCTCAGCTGAAGGTGATTCATTAGTTATAGCCAGTGCAATGATATAACTGCAAACAAAAGTATTAAGAATTTTTGAAAAGAGAAAAGAGACGAACTTTTGCAATACCACAAATCAGATGAGCACCATATTCTCGTTCAATTCTGTTGATCAACGAAGGAAAATCTTGCATTTCCTCAATAGTTGGATAGAAAACAGGTACATTCACTGTACCGGTAGGCATGAATACTGGATGATGAGCACTGTTCGCAGAAGTACTTGCTGACGATATATCCATCATTCATTACCTGAAATCGCATAGAAATTTCCTTCGTCATACACAACTCACACATTTGTCCGCATACCATAACTTCACATTCCTTAACTTTCATTAATTTCAAAAAAATTCATATTTCTGATCAAGTCCCAAGGTCAATTTGTTCTTTAAGTAGTTTTTTTTTTCACCAAATCTTCCAAACAGATTATTCTTCTCAACTGTAGGAACGATATCAACTCTTACTGCATGCCTGCTACACGGATACAAGAAATACTACAAGCATAACATTTTCTTCAAACTTAACATAAGAATTAGGACTGATATACACAACATGTATATCTACATCAATTATCTATTACGCTTTTTTAGTAAGGTATCATTGCAATCAAATTGACTACTCATAATTTAATTCCAATTACAATACACCTAGAAAGAACAAACGATAGTAAGACGAGAGATGCGCAGAGGTATTTTATACTGTACTCTTGTCTTTTACTGTTCACGGGACAATTATTAATGGTAGTGAATAAACACAATTAAATGTAAGAAACTTGTATGTGTTAAGAAATTGATCGAAAAAGTCAAGAAATTATTATCTATCAATGCAAAATAATTCTCTTGATCGAAGGCAGGGCAGGGTACTTTAGAAATAAAATGAAATAAACAAATTGGTGGAAATAATAATGTGACAACTGGTATGACTTCATTTGGACCCTAATGAAATAAAGTAACAAAAATTGGAATCAATAAGTTGGTTGTCCCAACTGCCATCCCGGGAATGCTCACTGGATAATGAGCAGTGTTAGGAGAAAAGATAAAATTAACATATCTGTGTGTGATTGGAATTAACAAGTGTCCTCTCCACTGATTTTTAAAGACTTCAATTGCTTTAAATGCAAATTAATATTCGACTTCTTCTATTTAAAGATTTTATGAATTTATTAACTAAGAAAATTAGCTTGAATAAGACCATGCTAATCATAATTAGTCTCGAAAATGAGTTTCGCTCAATTTACCAAACCTCTTTACGCATACACTGCCACGTGTAGAAACACGTAGCAGAAAAGTGATGTCAATAAACATCTTATTAATCACATATGCGAATGTTGCTCACATCGGATGAGCCACAGAGGGGGAAGCCCACTAACTGACTTAACATACTCACTAACAGTGAGTCAGCCAACATCTATGCCCCTTTCAAAGGGCCATAATAATAATTGAATCGATTCGTGGGATGTCTTTAACATTGCTAGAGAGACCTTGACCCGTACCTTCAACCTTTGACCCTCTATCTTGCATTCTCATTTCCAACACATCTGCAGTGTTTGATTGCTTTCATTTTAGACTAGGTAGCTCACAACGGCTATCAGCACATTCAGTGAGCGTGAAAAAAATAATCACTCCCACACAGACATGCAACGATATACCTTGTGCTGCTGAACGAACCTATCAAGTTCACTAGTCATTCGCTTGCTACCCATAATGCAACTTGATTGTCTTCCCAGGCGCATTCTACATAATTTAACCCCCCTGCACCTCCATGGCATACCAGAATAAATAACAAGACCGCAGACTTCAATCAAGCGTTGGAATCGGCATTTAAAAGTTCGGCACTTCGTTTTGCTCGCATCCTTAATGCGCTATTTATCTAGCTCATCTCACTAAAATGTTCTGGACTCTTTTTATTTGATTGTTTTTTGAACCACGTACAGATGTCAACTATGCGTTTCACCGAAGAACTCATTTACTGAATAAAAACATGAAGACTCATAATTTATCGCAGTGACTACAAAAATTATAGTTAATGACCGAGACATCACAACAACTATGATGACAAACACAGTAATCTATACTACCTTTCGGCAGTATTTTCTACTTTACTTGCAAATAACTGTTTATCATCCTTGTTACTTAACTGTTTCTATCATCTGCTTTCAACGCATCTATAACCATTTGCGATATTTGTTGTGTCATTTCATCATTCCTAAGTCTCGCTTGCGTATTCATTGTTCTTGATATATTTTCCTCTTGCGGAATGAAATACCGTCTAGAGTAAAATTGCTTCAGCAAAAATTCACAGTTCATTACGATTTCAGAATTAATGAACAAAAATATTGAAGTAGGTGAGCATAAAAACTAATTTTGCTCTACTCATGAGTCTCTTATACAGAATAAATAGCACGAAAATTAAATGTAAATAAAAGTTTCTCACCATGATCCCAACTCCCTTTATTTTTAAAATTCATGTTCATGAATATATGACTCAGTATATCAGTAAAGTATGGCGAAATTGAATATATTACCTAGCGATTCCATTCAAAATAGCTGCATGCCAATCTCCTCCAGTTTGATAAACCTCATGAAGGACTCGTACTACACTTGTGAATGGCAGGAAGTTAAAATTGTGAAGTCTTAAATTCTTGACGTTAAAAACCAAATTTTGAACCAACAAAGAAATGTTAACAGTATATAAGAATTAAAAGTATATTATTTTTCATAGTGAAAGCGATAAAATTGATTTACAAGTCCCAGAGTTCAAGAATTTCTACCGAACCTCCATAATAATTTTTTCTTACCGTCTACTTTAATAATAAAACATGGCTCTCAAGATTTTTCTAGTAAATTTTACGACAAATTCAAGGATTTATACAATTTACTTATAATGTTCGTTAAACGGTATGCGAGCTGTACTGCATCCACGTTTCCGAGCAGCACCAAGAGGAAGTCGATTGTCACGTCCCAAACATATTACGTACACTTTATCCTCTAATGGAGTTTTTATTATTTGTTGAGACCACCTGAATGAATTTCAGTTTTAACAGTTACCACAACTAAATCATGCCAATTGAAAACAAACAAGTTGTTTATGTAACAAGAACAAACCACGTACTTCGCATAATAAATTATTTCATTCTTATTGAAGAGATCAACTGCATCTTTATCAGTGTACAATGGCATAATTGTTTGGTATGCATATTTTGTTTTTAGCATCCTAAAGAAATATAACTGTAAAACCGAATCTACGAATTCCTCACTTGATCTATAAAATTTCCAAAAAATTGAGTTGAAGATGCCTTATATGTTTGCCCTGTTTATAAAGATAAAAATTTACTTCGTAACAGCTTTACAATTTGGATTGCTTTCATCGTAGTTGACGATCGACAGCTCAAATGGTTCTCTACGTCGAACATTTTCCTAACATTGCCAAATAAAGTTACGGAAAAATACTGACTGTATTCCTAAACAACAGATTTCTAATACCAATGACTGAAACAAATATTTGGAAAACATACTTCAATGATATATTCCAGTTGTGTTGCAAGACGAGATGAAAAGTCATTGAATTCCTTAGCAATAAACTGACAGTCCAGTGCAATCCGTGGCTTCTCTTTCAATCTTAAAGTTCTCCAAGCTGCTGCGCCTTCGAGATGTTTCATTCCTACAGTAATGTATCACTGCTAGCAAAGAAATAATTGTATGAAAAAAAACTCAATCAAATATTTGTTAAGATAATTTGATGTCTTATATATTTTGTGATAGGATGAAAGATATATTACCAATCCACATGCTAAAAAACCTAGTGTTTTATTTAAATGGTACCGAAATTTCGAAGAACCGGAAGTTTTTTCAAACTACGTAATGAATGATAGTTAAAAGCTTAATACTGATCGTAAGAACAATTAAGATAGTGAACTCTCTTTTACAATGAAATATTGATGCTAATATGAAATGTAGGCAGATCATACATTTGAATGAGCTTAATTAAAAATACTTTGTATAAGTTACGTTTTGCATTACGACTTGGTTTCAAAGATACCATCTCATACATAGATGGCCCATAACCAATGCCTCCAGTATCAAATTTCCAACGCTGAAAATAGAGTACACAGCCATTATGAGAGAAACCAGATTGCTGAATAGCAATCAAAAATAAGGCAGGTAATAGAAAATAGAAAAAAATCTTCACGAAAATTCATATGCGTCATCCTATTACTAAAAATTTTTTAAACCTTCAATTTGACACAAAAACCGAAGAAATAGATAGAATGTCGATAGACACTTCATCAAACAGATCAAATTATTTTATATTCTATAACAGAATCCTTTACTTTTCGTTTTCAAAAACGTTTTTACACAAGCAGGTTAGAAAAATGACCTAAATCTTGTACAATGTTAATTCATACATTTCTAAAATATATTCGTTAAGTCTAGCCAAGTTTCTGCTAGCAATTTTAGCAAAAAAACTTGTCCTACTATTTTCACATATATGGAGACCACCTAACCTGGAAATCAAGAAATGCATCTCGTAGATCAGATATGGATTTTCGTTTAGACTGACGCATTTGGTCCCGAAAAACATGTCTTGCATATGCTTGCAAATATGCTACTCGATCTTCTGTCTTTTCAATCTTCATTAATTTATCCCAATGTTTATCTTCGAGCACAGATGGAGGATGTGGCATCATCCATTCCATTATCTAAGCTTAATTTTTCACTACAAATATATGCAGCTAATTAAGATAAGCACATTTCTTGATGATCCGAAATGAATTTACGAGACAAAAATCGAAGTACCTCAACTTCTGCTACTATTTTATTAGCAAGTTTACGGGAGTTTGCGTCTAATGACGATAAAAACTCTATGGATGGCTTGAGTTTTCCTCTTCCTTCATCTTCTTGAGTAGATGGCAGAGTTGAAAATGCTTTGTGGCAATAACCAGAAGAAGAAGATGGAAGAAACGTTGTACATTTCATGAAACTGCGGAAGAATTAAAACTGAGCGTGAGAATATGAAGAAAAAATTTCTTTCAAAATACAGAGAACGTGATATACTACCAAAGCATGTCAAGTATATATATGAGGAAACAATTGCTATTCAAATTATGCTTACCGCTGAACACAAAAAAATTGCGAAGTTTGACGTCTTACGAAAAATAAGGCAATCTGATGGAAATATTTGCTCATTCTAAAAAATTTGTTTTTTTTTTTGCTTTATTTTTAAGTTATATTATCGTCAATTATTATGATATGAAAACATACAATTATGTTAAAACATGAAAAATAGCTAAATCAAAACAGGAAGTCAAATACACCTCCAGAACCATCAGAAATCATAATCATTTCTGTACTCTCCTTCCTTTAACAGTTTTACTAAAACACACACGCATACAAAAGTCTCCGACAGCATATTATCTTCTAACTCTAACAGTTTGTACTTTTTATTTTTCTTTCTTACACTACTTTAACCACTTGATTTGATACTATTTCACTTCACTGAAATGCAATTTTTCTAAGGGATATAGAAACTACAAATTAAGAACGCATACATTTAACGTTAATTAATTTCCTGAACATGAGATAAATAGCAATAATGTAACTCAAAGTATAATTTCCATACACTGAACAAATTAATTCTATAACTACTTTATCAGAATGTTTACGAGATCAAAATGTAATTATAATTGCAATGATATTTCACCATCCATGCAAAGAAAACAAAAACTCACATTTACTTGCTGCAGTTGCACGATTCATGAAGCAGAAAGAACAGAATCTGTAATTCAATTATCAGAATTTAGAAACTGTTAAGAGAACAATTTAGATGAAAATATACAATAATGAATGTAATTTTCGCATAAATAATAGAATAACCACTGCCTCTATCAATCTTCACTACGCAATAAATAACTGCGACCTTCTTTCAGAAGGCTGCGCATCATTATTACTAACTTATGAGGTTAGGAAAATTTATGTTATCAAGCAACTTTTTCGTTTCAATTTGTCCTACAACTGTGCAATTTTGTGTCTCAACTGATGGGAAAGCAAAGCCACTTTTTGCTAAAATCCTGAATCTCCCGTCATATATTTTCTTCCAAGTGATGAGTTTCAATGATTCTGCTGTCCCTCTTACTAATCTGAATCAAACCTTTTTTTTCATCCAATATCTTTGTAATTGAAATCTGGCAATGCCACTTCAACTAAAGGAAAATAGGAAATTGAAGATTTTTTTGCCGAATATTACCAAAATACTTGTTTTCTGGAAGAGTAGTTCTTTCGTTTCAATAAATTATATTAATTTTGACGTACAATAACTGCATTTCTAGAATGGTTACAGCAGTTAAAAAGCTATATCAAATTGTTATGAAATTACTGAGTTTATTTTTGGCCAGGTTCCGTATAAGTTATATTAAATGTTGAACTATGCATGATTATTTTATTGGTCGCTTGTTTCAGTCGATAACTGAATGGCTCTGATTGATGGTGATTCTAATAACGTCGAAGCACTTGCAGATGCTGCTGTTAGCGAAGAAGAGGATGATTCTGATAGAGAAGTTGCTTTTTGCACATTGCGTACTTTTTATTGCCATGAAAACGTAATGTTATGATATAACGGTTTTGTTTTCTTTTTTGTTCCATTGAAATTTTCATTAACCTTCTTTACTTTCATAAATGTTGACAAGTTATGATGGGTAATGAATTTTAACACTTTTGCTATAAATTTGCACACTGTTTCAGCTACAAATTGCCTTTGAAGAAGGTTTGTTGAAAACTGATCGGTTAAATTATGTTGTGGATGGAAAACGACCGATCATCAACAAAAAGGTTCGCAGTATGATTCATTAAAAGCTTTGGAGTAAAGTTTGTTTACATCTGGAAGTGCAAGTTCATCATAATGCTAAATGCTGTATCACTTAGTTCTGTTATGGATTGAAATCTTCGGTTTAGAGTCATGGTATAGTTTTCTATGGTATTTTCATTATTGTTTATTTGTAGGAAGAGTTGCAACTGAAAACAGAAGAACTAAAAAAGAATTTGATGTGGATAGAAACGCTTGACTTAACAGTCAAAAATGAATATGTGAGGGAGAGAACAATTAACGACGATTTCGAACGTGAAATACTCTTGTAAAGATTTTTTGTGATTTATTCTTTCTCGTATATTCTATTTTTGTCTGTTATATGCAGAAGTCTATATATAATAAGATTCTTCAGTTACAAACAAGCAGAAGGAGCAGTTAAGATGGCAATTCCACGCTTGCGTAAACTAGGTGTGAAAATCTTTCGACCCCCTGATTATTATGCTGAAATGGTGAAAAGCGATAACCACATGCAGAAAGTAGGTATATTATGTCAATTTCGTGCGGCAGGAAATGAAGACATTCATTTTCCGAGTTCAGTATGATACATTAATTTCTTTTTTAAAAAGATGTTTTTATGCTCGTATGAAATAATTGGTAAATGAAGTGATATATTTCTAGGTGAGACAACGGATGGCAGAACTTGAAGAAGACAAGAAAAAACAAGAAGCAATTCGTAGAATCCGTGAGGAAAAGAAATTTGCTGCTAAAGTTCAGAAGGAGGTGGATTTATACCCATTGATTTAATGAATGATTTGTTAATGCTTATTTTGTTGTATTCGGTAGTCTCGATGCTAATCTTTGAATAATGATATTCAGGTAATGGACCGAAAACAAAGTGAAAAAAAAATCTTGTTGGAAGCTGTCAAGGAACATCGGAAAGGCATGAAATCACAGTTGGATTTCATGCTCAAAAATGCTAAGAGGCTGCAAGAAACTGAGGTTATTTCTTACGAAATGGAATAGGAGAACGTGCGTCTGATATTGTTCTGAAATGTAGCTGTGGATATTTTTACCGTTTTAAATTTGTTAGATTTTTTTTTCAAAGGAAGAAGAAGATTTTGTGAGCACTGGGAAGAAGTCGGAAGAAAACCGGCGGGGAAGGAAGACTAAAAAATTCAGTAGAATTTCGCGAGACAAAAAATTTAGTTTTGGAGGACAGAAAAAGCGATCTAAAAAAAATGATAAAAACAGGTAAAGTCCTTAAAGTTTTTTTATTTCGATTTTCCTTCAATCTAGATGTAAACAGTTCAGAATATCTCATGTTTTTTTCAGTACCTTTAACATCCAAATTTATTGTAGTATTAATAAGTTTTGTTCTTTCCAGTTTCGAAGAATTCGCCACTCCTGGAAATCTTGCATTTAGAATGAAACGTCATCGTGTTGGTGGATCGTCAAGAAAAGGTCATTTAAAAAGGAAATCAAAATGATTATTTATGACTTTTATCAGCCAATATTGCAAGAACTGTGGAGCTTGATATAAGTTGTGCACTTAATCAGCTAAAAATTTTATAAAAGTAGTTTGCATGTACTTAATGATAAGATCTGATGTCACTCCAAGTGGGTTCTTGTTTTTTTCCTTTTTTTCAGGGTTTTCATGTAATTTAAGAAATGCTTCTGAAAATAAGCTTTCCTTGTGAAAATGAACAATCATTACAAAGACTTCATGCTAAATAATATTTGCCTTTGATTGTTGTTTACTGTATATTTGGTTTCTCTGCTTGTTGATGAATAAAATGTCTCTATCAGTCCAGGTTTTTTTTCGTGTCGAAACGTATAAGCGTGAAGCGTTGCAAGATAATTTGATACAGTTTTAACAAAAAACATAATGGTGAACTTGAAATTAGATTCTTTTACTTTGTTTGTATTTCTCGTTTTGGTAGTTGGTGGCAGTGAGTACTTGATAGGGCTTTTAGACGCTCTAGGGATTCTTTACGCTGCAGTTGCTGCGTAATTAGTAGGTTTTCAGCATGAGAGAATTATGATTCCTTTTGTGATGTTCGTGGATTGAATTAATCGTATATATGGATATTACTTTGTTGAATTTGGTCTGGGCATGTGTTTTATTTGTGTTACTCATTTCCTCAGCCATTGGCAGTTATTGTATTCTAAAAAGACCAGTGCTTCGGGAGGGATATACCAAGTAAGTATATTTTTAACATGAACTTTGAAGGATTTTTTCTGTCAAATTATTTTTGGTTGAAGACGCTGACCAGGTTTTTTCTGATGTTTCTATGGCATGAAAGTTTTCATTATGATAGCTAAGTTATTGGATCATACGTTCCGCGTATTCAATCCTTAGACTGTAGACTCAGCTGAAGAAGATAAACTCACAAGCTTATTATGTAGTCTTTTGCAGTATTTCTTTAATGATGCCTGCACACTGTAAGATTTTTTGATACAAGACACATCATTCGTAGATTTCATGAAATATTCGAACAATTTTTCGAAAATGTCAAAAATTTATCTGTGTCAACTAAGAATTACTATTTTGTAGCAAAAAAAAGCTTTTCGTTTCGCTGGTTAATTGCTTTGCTTGTGGTATATTTATTTCTGTATGTTTTTTGGGCTTATTACCACATCTTAAAAAACATGAAGAATATATTCGAAGAGCGTGGGCTTCACCTAACAAACCCGACGTTTCTTCTTACAGATTTTTAAATTCGGAATTCATCATTCTGATTGGATTTCTTTTTATACTTCTTATCGAGCAAGTAAGTTAGCTACTCATTCTGAATAGTATAAATTTTTTTTTTCAACGGATGGTGGCTTATATCTTTTATTCTTTGACGTTATTAGAAGTGTAGAAGTAAATGTTCCGTTGGTTATTGTGTCTAAATATAATGTGGATCAAAAATCTATCATTCTAGGCCATACATATGTACTGTGATTTTAATCATCATGAAATGGTCGGAAGTCATGGAGAATCATCTTCGATGTCATTAAACATGTTTGCGGCTGAAGTCGAAAGACCATCTGAATATGTTGGGGAATTGTCAACTTTGCTAAAATGTGATGAGGATTTTGAGCCTCTTATTCCAGAAACTGCAGCTATCAGTGCTTTCAATGCTGAAAAAAACGATATGCCCGCAATTAAATTTCGGCAAAGCTTTAGTGAAGTTTGGCATTTATTACTGTTTTTTTTTGTTTCAATGTTTGTGGTCAATTTATACCATAACTATTTAAAAAATCAGTCATTAATTCTACAGGTAATTATTACGGAAATTCTAATTCTATCACTCTTTTCGTGATCACACTGGTATGGCATAGCAGCAGCCGAATTTAAAAGATTTTTAAATCAATTATGCATTATTTTAGGCTTTTCGAAGGCATTGTCATGTTACTCATCGTCATACTGACTTGTCTTCCTCAAATATGACCGTGAGTATTCTTGTAATGTTGTGTGGTCTTTCATCACATTCGGTATTTGAAGGCATTGCATTGGGAATGCAGGTAATACTAGACAAGTTTTATTATTTTTTATTTGAATTATTGGGTTCTTTTTCAACTGCTGTTCGTCTAAATTTCATATTTGTCATATGTTCTGCGAATAATTCTGATTGGACAATAATAAGACACAGACAGATTCACAATATATATCTGATTATAGGTATCACTCTAGCTTTATTGTTCGGTATTTATGAACAAATTGTTTCAAAGTTTAGTGCACAGTTTTTTTTTTTGGGGGGGCCATTTGTACCGTTGCACCTGCATTTTTATGAATTTAAGTTAGAAACTTTTTTCTCAAATTCAGGTCATTTGATTGTTGCTCAGAATATAAGTGTATTCAGCAGTTTTTCTCTCTCAAAATTTGATATTGTATTGCAACCGAAGGAATTAGAGTCGTAGAGCGTGCTCTGAATTGAAAAAATAGTTTAGATGAATTTTATTTTAACTTGATTCAGCTACCAATTTGAGCTGATTTAAAAAATATGAGGAATGTGAATAATAGTCTGAAATGTATTTTCAGAGCACTACTGCAGATTTTTATGGTCTTTTGATTGCAGTCATGCTCCATGAAGTACTATGCGCGTTTGCATTTGGTGTCAGCATTGCGCAGCAACGTGTTTCCTCGAAAAAAGCAGTAATATTTTCGGTGATATTTGCAGGAAGTATTCCGTTGGGAATGTCGTCATCTGTTTTCGTACGTTTTTATTATTTTCACATTAATCCGGTTTTCAACAGGGTTAAAACTTCTATGTCTGTGTTATTTATATATACTCTTTTCACTTCTAACTTGATGTTCATTTTTTATTTACAATCTTTAATCATATAGCAAAAAACGGCAGTAAAAAATTTAGGTATAACTGAGGATTTCATTTTGTATAAGAAGAGAGAAGTTGCGCTGATTTTACCATTTAGATAGGTTCCTCGGAAGCATTGACGGCATCACTCTTCCGATTTATATTGGAAGGATTTGCAGCTGGAGCATTCATTTATGTTGCATTTATTGAAATGTTGAGTTCTGAGCTAAATCATAGTGGGCAAAATTCTAAAGCGGGCTTCTATAAAGTACTGGCAGTAATTACTGGCGTATTCATCTTTTTTATTGTAAATTCTGTTTGTCATGAGCATTTGCATCCGTTCCCGCAAAATACACCATTGAAAACGACTGTTGGGAAATTTCCTATTGATGCTTACTAAATAATTATAAACCAGTCCACTTCTGGTAATTTTAAACTTGTCTGGATTATGTTCACTGCTGTAAAATATCTGTTTTTATTAAGACAATTTTAAGAAAATATGGGATGGGTTTATGTCGCTTATTAATGACTGCTTTTTCTCTCAATTAAAGGAGTCTAATTCAAATCTCTTGTGACATTTTAGATTGTTGAGTAATCACATTTAAGTATATTATCTATACTATACCAGGTGATCTCTAATTTAATTACCTAATGCTAAAGAGTTTCCAAAAAGGTTTGATTAGAAGCAATCCTTATATTCTGAAAACAGCTGTAATTTCTCTAAACGACGTTTATGTAAGATGTAGAAACTGGAACATCGGAGTTATTCTGATAGCACATTATGAGACAAGGTTATCTGCTGATGAAATGTAAATTTTTTCTTCTTTGATTTGCATGCATATTCATTAAAGAGCTATTTTGTAAAGTTATGACATCGTTTCCCTAGTTCTGAAGTGTTTTAATTACTTATTTTCATTCATAATATAGTTCATGTGTTGTGCATAACCTAATATTAACCCAGTATTTTAAGTGCAAACAGTCAGGTTCTATTATTGCTTTTAATGATTTTTGTTCAGAAGCATTTTCAATAAATTTATTAGTATTATATTTACTTCGAAAGATGGTTGGTTAGTCATGAGTTGATGGAATCTCCAAATGCTGCTTTTTACCTTTGAATTTACTTTGCTCTAACAACTTTAATAATTTCTTTTTGGTAGCATCTGCTATGGTACCGTCAGATTTCCCATAAGTCGTTAATACATTCAAGTATTTGTATAGTCATGTACATCTTGAAGTGTATGGGTCATTTCATGATGTATTGCGAAAGTCAAACATTTAAACTGCTTATAAGCTTCAAATAGGACCTGGATGAATATTGAACTTATGCATGACGCTGACATAATTCGAGCACGAAGTATTGATTTCGCTGTACTCGATGAATGCGCATACTATGAAGCGATCTATGCTGGTAATGACAGGTAAGATTTAAGGCTATAATTTACTTTAAATTGAAATAGATGTATATTATGTCCGAAAGAAGTTTGCGTTGTATACGTCAGTGCAGGTGGATAAAATGAAGATCCATTTTTTAGTGTTCCGAATCGTGCTTTCTATCAAATCGACTCTCCATTTTGGTTGGATACACAATTTGTTGCGCTATCTCGTGCAGACTCTCGTGTAAATGCAAGATCAAAGCGTAAACGACCACAAAAAGCATCTTCGGTTTGTAAGCTTAGAATGCAAGAAGTAACTGCTAGTTCTTGTTATAGATAAATCAGTAATATCTAGATTTTCTTAATTTCAGTTTTTCATTATCATCTTGTAGTATACTTTTCTTTCTTTTTTAGTGTTGTGTTGCTGTGGAGAAGATTCTCGAAAAAGCAGTTGCGCTGTTTGCATCTGAGCTGAAAGGAAATGCTTCAGTTCCGTATTTTCGTTCCAACGATTCTTTGAAGTCTAATAATTATGACGCGCGGAAGTTGGCTATCTCTGCATCTTCAACTCCTTGTCTTTTATCTCACTATGAAGAACAATATTTTGTATCCAAACATGATGTCAAAGAAATATTCTTGAGTGAAAAAAATTGGTAGTTACTTTATTCGTATATTTGTTTTGTATTCATGGGAAGGTATGAAAAATTTGCTTTTGCGATGTTTTGAAAAGGTCTCATAAATCCATTATTTTTTCCTGATTAAAAATGTTGCTTTTTTGAATTATTGAGTTTTTTGATTTGTAATTTTTGATTATATTGACATTTCACTTTTATTATTTCTTCATTTGTTCTATAAAATTAATCTTCACAGCAACATCACTGACATTGCAAATGAAATCGTGATGTGGAAGAATGCCAGTTTAGATGTTTTAACGATTGGATATAAAGATCAGAAATATATTCTACCTCCAATGTCTTCCTTTATCATAAATGATGTAAGTGCCTCGACAGCATTAATTAAACGTAAGTATTAAATACATATTTTAGTTACTCACTTTAAGTACACTATATTTTAGTTATTCACGAATTTTTTCAGTGTATTAATGAATTTTTGCGTACATTTTACTTGAAATAAAAAAATTATCCCAAGCTAATTCTTTATAATTCACACAGTATAATATTTCGCAAGTTCTTCATAAAATTTGAGAGAAAATTTCATACACAGATTACACTTTTCAGAAAGAAAGCGGTTTGATTTCATCTTGTTAGATCCACCTTGGCCGAATGGTTCCGTGAAGAGAAAGAATGTGTTAGTAATAAAATGAATAATTGACTTCTTTGTTATGTCTCAAAAGTATTTGTTTTTGTATCCAGTTTTCAAATTCTAACATTACAGAATCTTGAAAGAAGATGAATCGGTAAAGAGAATGCTAGAAATTTTTATGAGGATTCTATCAATAGGTTTTCAGTTACCATATGTGTAAAGAACTAACGTCTGTACTTGAATTATGTGTGCCAGAGCTCTTACTAGAATCAGGACTGTTTGCAACATGGGTTACAAACAATGAGAAGTTTTTAAAATTTGTTGATGACATGATTGAACATTTTGGTCTAGAAAAGATTGCTACCTGGCGATGGCTTAAAGTTAGTAGCATTTTGTTTTTATTTTCGAAATTTTCTTTTTTTCGATTTTTTAAATTCATGGGTAGAGTCAAAAATCATGTAAGACGTTGACTTTCCCTAGCTAAAAATTTGTCAACAAAGGTGAATTTTAGTTTCTATCACTTATTCACTTTGATTTGTCATTATACTGAGTATGAAATAGTTCACTTTAACTTCCGATAATTGTTTACTCGTTGCAGTCTAGTTTATAAAGTTTATTCGTCTTGCAAGCATTTGAACTATTTATTAGCATTTTTTGGCACTGACTTTTCTCTAGCAATAAAATTTCAGGTAACGAACAGTTTGGAGCCTATTTCTGCTTTCAATAGCCATCATAAGCTACCGTTTGAAAATATTGTTTTTGCATGTCATCCTAGTGCTGTAAGTTACTATGTGGAAATAGTTGATGAGTTTGTATTAATCAGGTACGTATCTTCATCACTTCATCCAACTTAATATTTACTTCCACTGTTAGTACTATAACTTCTGAAGATTATTAATTAGTCGTGACTCATAAAAACTTTAAAAACAAACTTTGAAAGCTGAAGGAAGGCTCTTTATTAGTGAAGACTTTGTTCTTTGATTAATTATCATGTATTGTATCATTTCAAACAATATATTTTGTCGATATTTTCCCATTAATTAGGAAGCTTTTGATATATTATAGTAAATCTTGAATGCATTTAATTATTTAAGAAGACTGCCTTCATTTGGAGCTACCAAATTGAATCACTAAAAGCGAGCTTTGTTTTTATGATGATGAAATTTTGGGTTTCTTCCGTGTACAGATTTTTTATTTGTATTATTTTTAGCTTAAGCCTTTTTAGCAATTTCAAATGCATCTGACGAGGAAATTTTCACGGAGAGCACGATTTTTCTTCATCGTTTTCTAAAAAAGAATGAGGAATTAAAAGTAAAATACGTAGTGAATTATTGTGGAAGTCATCTTCAATTTCAAGTCATTTATTCTTAAATAGCTGTTTTAGCACTCCATCAGCAATTCACTCAAGAAAACCGCCTCTGTTTCCCATACTGCAGGCTCTTGGATTTATTAAAAAGTCAGCTGAGCAGTTGGAGCTGTATGGTAGATATTTATTGCCTCAAACAACTACCATTGGCTTTGAATCGTGCAAGTTGCAAAACCGACGGTATTTTATCTAACAATATAAAAGTGAAATGAAGAGTTTAGTTGTTGATATTTCGTGTATTCATGATAAAAATGTTGGCATCTAGATATGTAAAATGAATTGTTACTCTTATAAAATGTTAAGAAGATCGCAATTTTGCAGATGAATCTAATCATAGATTTACATCTACATTTCATACATGACTAAAAAAGTTAGGAGGCAGAAGTGTTGTTCTCGTCAACAACTACGAACAGAAGTAATGAAGAAATTAGAAAGCAAAATTATGTTAAGAGAATCAATAAAGTCAAGTTATTTTTCTTGGTAAATCAATTGTGATCAGGGTGTTACTAGTTTTTATGAGGAATGGTATCATTATTTGTCGTATTGGTGGGCATTCTTTATTCTACCTTACTGTCATGATTAAAGAGGAACTGGAACACCTTAGTTATGTCGAGTCACTGGCATCTAGGAAATACATTTTTCAAGTTTAAAGTTTTTAGTAGTTCCAAAAATAAATTCAGCAGTATTTTGAACAACCCAACCTACTTCTTGTCACTAATTTATGCCAAAACTAAATTTCACCTTACATTGATTATTTTCTGGTAGTTCTTTTGTATTTCAAAACGATGCTGTTGAGTGTTTTCCGTATGAAAAGAGAATTAATGCGGTAGTTGTAATCGTTGATTATTTCTGTACACTTCCCAAAAGTCACGATATTTACTCTGAAAAAAATATGAATTAAAATGAATTTGCTTTCCCAGCAGCTAGCTAGCACTGGTATACGTAGTAACAACCGGTCATAAAATCTATGTAAAGATGTATTTTGAATGGTAGGAAACATTGCAGTAATTTTAGTAATACTAAAGTGTGGTGGAATGGAAGAGAAATAAGAACAGTGTCAAATATTTCTTTGACCTCTTTCTTGAATCACTACAAATGGCCTCTTCCTAATCATTTTCGAGTGGGTCATCGCAGCGGCACACATCGTGTCATCATGTTCATTATTTTACAAACTATGCTGCATGTGTGAACTTCTCGATCTCGATAATTTCCTTTCTTATAAGAAGTCTTTAAACACAGTATTGTGTATAGTGAGTACAGGAAATATTTGTTGCGACAGTGATTTTTTTGAGATTTATTGACTTTTTTTGTAAAGTTTTGTTTTTAGTATGCATTCTGAATTACTAGTGAAAGAACTGTCTCTTCCTTGTGTTTTCATTAAATTCACTTATTTACTGCTGAAGAAGATGAAGAATGAGGTAGATAAGTGTACAAAATTATTAATTTGAAAATTTCATATATTTCACTCTTAAAAATGCTTTTCTAATTTCATTTCATGTTTGTTTTTTTCAGGTAAATCGTATATAATGAAGTTATTACCTGTATTCATAATTATTTTGCTTTCAATTTCGCTCACTTCCTACGCTCTTCTCGCAGTAAACGGCAATGAGGTGAATATAGTTTGCTTGTTTACATGAATAAAGTGTCGTTAAGAAGTATATCTTATCAATTTAATAAGTAACAGTAGTAAAAATTTGCACCAACATATTCAAACCTTTCATTCATGATGCTGTCTGAAATGTATCATTTTGCTTGCCTTACTTTTACAAGCTAATTTTCTGAGTGTCACCACTGCCATTTTGAAATAAATATGCACGTAAAATGTCTCTGCAATCATTTAATCATTCATGCTCAAAAATGAAGCTCATAAGTAAAAGACGCAAATTAAATTGTAAAAATAGTTAATTTGATAAATTTAAAAATTGATCTAACAAGCTTTGATTTAAAACAAAAGCAAGCAAAACTTCTGTCGTCTTATTATTTTTTACAATTATTTATTATTATTTCGTTTTTATTATTCCTTTTTTAATTCAACTAATTAAATGAATAATCAAAATTACAAGATTTCATTATTCATTTTGGTAATTTTTTAAATAAAATCTTCATGAAAATATTATCAAATTCCAGCTGTTATTAAAAACTCATGGTGCTGTACGTGCCCGGCGTGTTCGTGACGTGGATGACAATCAACCTAACGAAAATTACGGAGCTACACGACGCTTATTACGACATGAAGCACAAATGATGAAGAAAGCGAAAAGTATTTTGAAGAACAAGAAATATAAGACAATCAGTACATGATTTAAATGAATAATAATTACCCCATAATTACCTTATTCTTTATCAAAAGATGGAATTATCATTGTGTCATATTTTGATGTTAATGTATACTTACACACTCATACTACTATCTGCTTTATCTCATCCTTGACTTCAAGTTACACTGCATTGTTCAGTAACAATACTGTGTATTAAGCGACCGATAACACACTAAAGTCACTTTCCTCACTCCACGTCAACCACTTCAAGTCACCACGACCACTTCCATATCCATATACCTGCCATTCCCTTCAACCACACAACCGAAGTACAATGCCTCAGGATCCCATTCTCTTTCACAGCTTCTTCGAAGCATATGACGGCAATTCCTATCAAAGTTGAGAAGTCAGAATCATCACAGGCTTTAGATACATAGATTTTAATGAATCATATCAGCATTGCAAATGATACAAAGTGGGTTGCAATAAAATTGCAGGAGCAGTTTCTGCCTACTCTCTTGTCTTCTATTTTAACTTGTTCTCGCTCGCAGTACTGCATTTTATCAAGCCAACAGCATTTTCTGTAACGTCTTTAAAATATATATGATAAATGATAACAGGGCTGACCTCAAATCAAGACTTGCATGAAAGCATAATGTAAGACCTTATCCTTGGTAATACATCTATCCTTATAATCATTTTGATTAAGTTCCACTAATCTTGCTATTTGTTCAATGAATAATTTCCTTTTACAATGTAGACTGAATATATGAATACATAATATTTTAATTTTCATTACACTTTTTTCGGAAATTAAAATTAATTTAGCCTAAATTGGCAGCTTATGTAATGATTTTCATGAACTGTCCATTAAATTTGCTGCAATTAAAGATTTTAAAATGAACTTAAATTTTATACCTGAAAATTTGTAATTATATTGAAGACATGCGTGCCTTAATAACAGCTGAAAACAGTTCATTTGCTTTATATTTCTAAAGATTTTTCAGTGTGAGAAGCAGATTTAAATTTGAAATCGTCGTCTATAGTTTATTTCGATTATTTAATAATTAAGCCCCAGCACACTTTTGCAACTAACAAATGAATCCGAGAAGTAACCAACTGTTTTTGTACGTGGAAACAATGCAAAATGTTTACTGCAATATGAATTACTTTTATAGTCTTGACAAATGCGCTTGTGGTATCTAAATTTTCAAACTCGCAAATTTTTATCATTTTAAAAACTGATTCACTTAGTTTACATGTTCAAATTTGAGAACTTATCGAATAATCATTTCACACACCGACTATAAAAGTAGTTAATTTTTTTAGCTCTGTTTATATCTGAAAAATTGTTGAATCTTATCAGAGAGATTTCAGATGCTCACAATTGAAAGCAATAAAAATATTACGGATTGATTTGAAGTTTATAATAGAAGTTAGCATTTTAAATGCAGTCATTGCTGAATAACTTATAAGCAATAATGAATATTTGTGCGATATGTGCAGACTATATCTTATCCTTTTTTAACAGTGAATATTAATTACTCAATTCAAGTATTAGTAGTAAGTTGATGCAAGCAAACATTGATTATTGTAGAAAAGTTAGTTTCAAAAAATCATTTTGTTTTCCTGACTTCTGACCTTACGTGAACTGATATAGTGCTCATTTTCATGATTATATCATACGATTATGTGTGGTCACTTGAAATACAATTTTTCCAAGTTGTGTTCTTTTAATGATAATTTATTTAAATCACCAATGTTGTTTGTACTCAATATTCTTTCATTAATTACATCTTGATCTCAATTTCTCTTCATCCGATTTTAGCTTTTTGAACAGTGATTCTGATGGTGTCGAACATATGACATCATTTTTTCACACTTTTACATTATCCTTAAATAATAATTATGCATCGAAATTTGCGTTCATCTGAGATTATATGGTTTTTTTAATGAAAACAAATGTAAATTGAAAGTTGCAAGATGTGAATTGCAAAGCTGATAAAATAATTTTTTTGTTCATTTTACTTTTGCATCATCGTCGAACTTTGAGTTAAATTTGTGCAACTGATTTGTAAACTTAGATTCTTGCCGGATAAAACGATGATGCATGATTTGTTGAATACATTGTAGCTGAGATTAATTGTGGATTTAGCGAGCAAGCGGTGATGACAGATCTTGACGAATCAGTCATTGTCTGGAATCATAAATATCAATAAAATTTTTTGATAAAAAATACCTACTGAGGTCAAATTTATTCGTTAACATTTTCATTAATGGAAAACTAGTTCAGTCTAATAAAATGCCTGCATTACAATTTTTATAGCTCTATTTACAAAAGTTATCCTTCAAAAACTTGAAAGCTATTTCAAAAATTAACGTAACATAAATTATGCAAAGTAAAATAATCTCTAAAGTAAAAACATCACCGTTTCAGAAAAAAACGGCAATGAAAACTGTTGATGAATCCAAAATGGATTCAGAGTGGTAGTTGCTAATGATTTTCGGCATCTTGCTCGTCGATTGCTAAACCAAACCTTAAAAATTTTCAATTTTCAATTATGACCCATGCTTTTAATTAAAGTAGGCCTAAAAAGTGTAAAAATTTTTCAAGTTTAAAAATTTACTTACCATTTGTTTTATGTCATATGTCTTCTCAGCAGCTTTTTTGCCTTTTAATTATGAATAAGTAAGAGCAATGAAGAAATTTATGCTACAAAATTTAAACAATATTTGAAATTATGCACTAAAAAACCTGTATTTTAACTTCATCTAATTTTGTCGCGACTGCTAGGCGTTCACGTAATTCTTGATCAGGATAAGTATTGGCAACAAAAGCTGCTTCCAGTATTTCAAGTTGTTCCTGTGTAAAACTGGTCCTGTTTCTACGATTTTTACTGTGTTTTTCTCTTTGTACAAATAATTGCCCTGCACGTTCATACCTTGCTGCAGTGATCATTTTAATTAATTAATGATTGTTTTTAAGTAATAAAATGCATGCATATGAAACTGTGAGTAATATTAAATTTTAACTGATTCGAACATCTTACATAAGCTGATATTCATTTCATTTTTTTGGGATGCAATTTTTGAAAGCATTAAAACATGAAAATTATTTTGTTAAGCATTGCTCAATATTTTTCTCAATAAAATTAAAAATATTATTTGAAGGAAGAATTAATGCTATTGAATTGTGCACATGCAAATTTTGAAGTCTTCTACAGTTGCAATATTTGTAAAATTGCTGACAACTAAAAATTAATGGAGCAGTGGTGCTATCAGCGTTCAAACTCACTAAATTCTTATTTCAGTTAGGCTCAAGCTGAAATTACAAAAAATACTCAAATTTCGTATCTCTAACAAGCAATAACAATTTTAAGCTAACTCTCTTTACAAGTAAAAATTTTAATAATTAATTATTCATTATTTTTTTTCTCTCAGAATTTTTGTCTCAGTATCTGATGACCATATTTTAGTTTTATGAAACTTGAAATGGCTATCTAACTAACCTCAACTTTTATTATTTAATTTTCATTCAACTAAAAGCACAAGTATTTGTTGTTAAAAGCTGCTCAAAACTTGTTTACTTGACCATAAAATTTTCCGTCCTGTTTATCAGAAAAACAACAACAAACATCATTTATAGTGTAAATAAATGAAAAATAATCATGCTTGGCCGATTTTGCCTTGTGCTTTTATAAATGTGTAATTAATTATATGCTAAATTCTAAGAAAATTTTTCAAAGTTGCCTGTGGTAGTCTTTTTTTATTATTAGAAAAAATTACTTGTCAAGTGTATTCATCTACCATTACATTTCAATATAGTTTTGCTGTGCAAAAAGAAGGAATAATTATATTTTTAGAATAATTATTCTATTTTGTTACTTAATCAAAAATCATCACAAACAATAGCAATGTTTATGCTTTTCATACTTTCATTCAGCTAGTACGTATTAAGAGATCTGATTTCAAATAAATTACCTAAAACTAAACATAAGAGATGTAAATAAATGAAATACTTGCGGATGTGCAAAGAATCTCGTCTATACTGTGTTTCAAAGTAGCAACCTTCAGTGAGCACTGTTCTTGAATTTTGTTTTCCATAGTTTTATTTCTAAAATATTTGGTTAATTTAAAAATTTTCAATTTGAAATATTCAAAATTATTATTTTTAACAATTGTCAAAGTGTAAAATTTTTTCATTTTTAAATTCAGCAGCAAATAACTTATTTTGTAGAATTTTTAGAAAATTTGAACAATTTACTTACCGTATATATTTGTCTATAGAAGACACGGTAGGTACATTTGTTTGATTGCATAATCCTCTATCAACAAGAATTGAACGAATTTCATGAGCGTTTATATTAGGATGATTGTCAAAAATTTGAGAGATATATTTTTCTAATTCGTGAACTGTTTTACGTGATTTTGAATTGCCTCGAACCTAACAATATGACACTAACAATAAAAATGATAAAAGAATTTTATGCAAATTTTCATCAGTTAATTCTGTGATTATTTATTTTTACGAAAAATATACGTAGTAAATCAATTTACAGCATGCTGTTTTTTAATTATTCAATTAAGCTATATACTTTTTTAACTTAGACCCTAGTAGTTTTTGTAACTAATTGCAGTTATTAATGAAAAGTTAGTCAAATAAAAAGAAAAAAATTCGTCACTCGATTGTGCAAATACGCCCGCTTTCAATTGAAATACAAAAAGCATAGAGTTATTTAAAAGAAATTTACTAGAGAAGTAATTTTTTGAAATTTTCAGTTAATGGTATTATCAATTTGTACATGCCTAACCAAAATTTGTTTTAACAAATGATAAAAATTTATTAGGTATGCTGAATGATGAATAGATAAAAAAGTAGCCCAAAACAAAAGGTATTATTTCAGGTAACAAACTGTCAGTTTGAAGGACCCAAACAACAAATTACTGATAAACTCATTTTCTTCTTGAAGACCACCATTGCTTCGTACATTCCTTCTCGATTTTGTAAAATGAATTGGAGGCAATAAAATGAATGAAAAGTTATTATGGTCCGATAGTTGGATGAAATTGTTATCAAAATCAAACAGTTTATATGCATCATTTATTAGACCATTTTTTTTTCCTTTTTTTTTTTAAAATTATTTTTCAACTTAATCGCGAAGACACACTCAATTTGAATCAATGGAAATTCGAATAAAAAATTACTGTCAATAATTGGTATTATCTTTTGTAAGAATTTAATATGTAACAAAGTTTTTGCTCATGAGTTTGCTTTAGAAACAATGGTATTAATAACTGGATTAAATATCTTTGTCATAATTTTGAAGTTAGAAGTAAATTTACAAGACTTTCTTATCAAAATTTGAATAATATTGTCATTAATTCAGTGTCATTTTATTGTTATTGTTATTTTTATATTTATTTTTTGTAAAATTTCATTTGACGTTAATTATTAGTTGATATTTTCATATCTATCATTTAATAGACTAACTTGTCCAGGTGAAACAGAGCCTGTTTCAGCGTAACGATACAGAATCTTCGACACACAACCGTGTGAAACACGCAATTGTCGGCTGATGTGACATGGCCTGAAATGATTTTTTTTTTCATTTTAAAAATAGCATAAAAGCTAACCTCATTATATTTAAAAATGAAAATGATATGACAATTAAAAGTTGTTTTCTTTCAATCAAATAGAAATGCCTAAGATAATGTATGCAAATTCTGATCACTATAGTGGAAGAATTAAATTTTTTATAAATTACATGTCCCATGCAATGCTTTCATATAATTATAACAAACAATCATGGTATCTGTCTTTTTTTCCACTTTTAAATATTAGTTTGCCTTTTAAGGATTACAAGTTCTTTGTCCAAGGTAATCATCGTTTAGCTGATGATTTACAAAAGACAGATACCATTTTTTTGTTACTAACAAGGACGTTTGGAAAGAAACAAAGTTGGAAAAGACCACCCATGAAATGCAATTCTTTTGCTGTACAAAAAAAGCACAAACAATAGATAAAAATATAAAACACCTTTTTAAATTTAGTGTGTAAAAATTAGTGTTGAAAAAAGAATTAAGATTGGTCATGCAGATGATTGCACAATATGTGACATTCGTTTTTGTTAGAGATAAATTGCTTCAAATAAAATTACTCTAAAATGGGTTGTCTCAACAAAATGATACAGCAAAAGAATGAAGAATTGAATTAAATTTTTGTCTTATGCCCAAATCTTGTTTAATTAATAAAAATATTCAAATATTTGCTTAATATTTGTACAGTGAAGTGAAAAAGCAAAATTAATTTACAGTGGTATAATAAGCTATTGTTAATCACATGTTTGCATATTTACAGAACTGAATATCTTTTTTCATCACTTACTTTAATTGGTGGGTGCTAGCATAATTTAGTTTAATTTTTTTTAGCACGAAACAGCATGTGATGACGATTGTAAAAAATTGTATCTTTAATTAAATCAAATATCACACGAGAAATTTGGCTATCAACAACTTTGAAAAATATTAAGCAACAAATATTAGACAAAGCGATTCTATTTAAAAAATTCTTGTTCCAAAATATGAATGATCTACATGGTTGTTGGATACTACAAATCGCGCTAATAATTATCAATATAAAAATTTTGCTCAGATAGGAAAATATCATACTTAGATAATACTTCTTTATTCGAACATTCAACTAAAAAATAAGTTTTAAAATTTAAAATTTATTTTGACGCAAATACTGTATGTTGTTTTCATGAAAACCTACAATGATAACGTTTTCCAGGCAATTCAAATCATTACTATGTTTTTTTAATAAATAACTGAGTGCAATTTGGCTTCTGTTCTTTAATAATAGCAATAATAATAATGGTAACAGTAATAGTCATGATAATAATGCAATAATAATGACATTAATAATCGTCATCTTTATCACCATTTATAATCAATTATTGATAAATGATACAAAATCTTGTTGTTAGAATATCAAAAACTCTAAGTCCCCGGAGTATCTCATGTTGGTGATAAGCGTAACTATTCACTTACTTTACGCCGTTAGTAGCCATTTCAACGATTTTCAATCGAATATGATGAGGCAATGGACGACCATTAATAAATACACCACCTAGCTGATTTACTCGACCCTGTAGCCATTAAATTTTTCATCATTTTTCTTTCAAGTCTCAAAATGAAAAATTAAGTTGATATATTTTTTGATTCAGTTTAAGCAATTAGCTAGAATTTAACAGAATTTAGAGCAATCACAAATAATCAGTCTGCTATGACTGCTTTTAAATTCAAATGTTCTTGCTTCAATTCAACAAGCATAGCAGTATAAAATCTTTGAAAAGAACTGATATAACTGATCTCTTCTTGTAGCCATTTTAGTTTCTATGAAATTAAATGTCTTAATAGTTTAAGCCGTAAAAGTATATCAAAATTATTGTGTACGCTTCAAAAATTAAAAAATAAGCGTAATAAGAAGGATTCGTAACAAAATTGTTCATTATTACAGCTGAAATCACAACGATTTTCTAATAGTGAGAGTTATATTTGATAACTTTTCTTTGCTCATTTTCATGTCAGAAATGGGTTTTTCAAATTAAATTTTGTTGCTGCATAATTTGAACAAACATCTTTGCATTGTAAATTCATGCTTTTTTGGGGAAAAAGGTTTTAGCAAAGTGATAAATAAATACTGAAAGTTCAAAGATAAAAAAATCAAGCAAATATACCTGTCCCATAATATTAGCAAAGGTGATGGTAGAATGACTGGTTGCTGTATTATCAGCAGTAATTTTAGTAGTAATATTGAAAGCAGCATCAAGAAGAGCATTAGATGGATAAGTTTCGGTACATGCCATTACCTACTGATAACAGGAGTAGAAGACTGTATGATAAATGTGAATTCACTCAGTTATTTGCTTTGCTTACCATACAATAATTATTTTTAACAAAGAAGTAATAATTTTCTATGATTTGTTTCATGTGACATTTTTAGATTGCTCAATGGTATTGCAAAGTGGGAGTGTTTCATCGTTGGAAGTTATATTTTTAGGGTGTACAAAATACAAGAGGTTTTTTTTTTTTTTTGAACTCGCAACGATTTAGAATTACCATAAATACAAAAAATCTGACTATTTTCTTTCAACCTATTATCTATTTTGATTCAAGTATGCAATGAACCAATTCATTTATACGTAAATGATTTGTCGTATGAATCTCACCTTTTCAAGTACTTTGTATATTTAATTTTGATGTTTAGAAAATTACACGCTGTCAAAAACCTCAAGGTACAAAAAGGTATTGCTATTTTTGTCTCATTAGATGTGTATACCCGCCTTCATCAATTAAAAGTTTGATTACAGGTTTTCTTTCGTCTAACCAGCACAGTAGCACTAAATACCGTATCAGATACTTTTTTGCAGTGCAGTGCTTACAATTATTTTATCAAATTAGCTATTTTAATTAATAATGATCATTAAAAGACTTAGGTACTTGTTCAGCTTAAAATCTACCATAAAAAATTGCTAGTGTATTATTAAGTCACATTTATTTTATCAAAAAATGGCAAAATACAACATTTAGCTAATTCTTTGCTGAAAAGTTATAATTTGCAAAAATAAATGGATTCGTAATCGAAGTTGACATTAGAAACAGTCATATAACGTTGTTCATATGAAATATTGCAGGCTTCAACCAGTAAATTAATTTTTTATTCGCATATACATGAGCATATATCTGAATAATTAGTTCACAAAATCTTTGTTTTACTAGTTCTTTTGATAAGATCATTAAAATTTCCTTTTTAACATTTCTGCTTTAATATGCATTTTTGAAGAAGTTCATTTCAATTCTGTATTGCCAGATTTCATTTTGCACTCAGTGCGTAAACGAAAAGTCGGTGAATTGCTTAATATTTAAATTTATTATAGAGAAAATTAAACAATCTTAAACGCATAATTAACCTTTGTTTCAGTTCAAGTGCTGGAAAAAATTTATGATCAAAAATGAATTATACCACAAAAACCTTTCAGATTTTAGGTTTTCATTGAAAGTATTCATTTCATACTTTTGTTTGAGAAGTGAAACGGAAATCAAATTGTCTAAATCATAAAGAAATAAATAAATAAGTAAATTAGTTAATTAATTAATAAAATAAATATATATATCAATTTTTATGAATGTAAAAAAAAATTCTTCAAAGGTTCAGTGAGGGAATAAGCAATGCGTAACTATAATACTGGAGACTTATTTGTCATTATACAGTAACAAAATAATGAAGTCAAAAATAGCTCTCGAATTTAAATACAATGTGACAAATTTTTTTTAATATGTCAGAAAGCTATGCAATTTGTATATGCAGAGATTTGAATTTAAGATTGAAATTTTTATTTCTTCGATCTGAGAACGATTAAGATTTTATGCTTCCAATAAATATGAGATAAAATAATTTATTGCTCTCAAATTATCAAATGTCATTATATCTGCTTAATTTCTAATTTGCAAAAAATATTTTCTCAGTGCTACCATCTTCTATCTCAGTTGTCTTAAACAATTATGGTATTAACTTTTTAATGCTTTATAAAAATCTTATTTGCAAATTTTTACTTTGTTTGTATGTAAAAGACATCCACAAATTTTCTCTAAAACTGTCACATTTTTTCAAAAAGTGCTTTCGATCCAAATAATAACAATAATCTTTCTTAAGTGAAGAATACAGAAGCATAAGGTATTATTACACTATGATAATATGTTGATATTTTTGCAAAAAAATACGTGGATAATACTTTGGAATGTTAAAATGTTAATATGAACTGTCAACTTGAATTTCTTCAGTTTGCAACAGAAAAGGCAAATAGATATAGCTCATAAAGAAAAATTATCCAACATTCATGCAAATTCCGAAATTATTGCGAACTTTTTCGAATAACACATATAGTCTATCAGTTATTCATACTTGTAAAATTTGAAAATTTATTTTTGAAAAATTGCTGATTTAGAGCATACGGTCATTACGATAAAAGCAATTGTTTCGCTTTATTTTATACACAAATATTTAAATATTGCTTGTCTGCAAATTTGGAATGATAGAAAATGCTACCAACGTTATTAACTAAGATTTAATATCGCTTGACCTTCTATTTTCGTAACAAATATAAATGTGTTATTTTGCCATTTATTTAACATTTTAATTTTTTGAAAACTTAACATAAAAGACCATTAAGAGTAATTTTATTGTGAAAACAAATTTTCGTAACAAATTTTACAATATTTGTGTGTCATTGTAATTTGTCGTATTTAAGAGAAATAGATATGTCATTATGAGATAATAGAGTTCTCTTCAGGCAAATATTATCAAATACTTTTCCAGTGCACTAAGAATTTCAGTAAATTGTGATCTTTTTCAAAACTTTATTTAAGTTTTATTAAATATATTTAAATTTTCAATTCACTACAAATAAATGATTTGATAAGATAATTAATGAATAATTTTCACACACAACAGCAAATATTTACAATCGCTTGGAATTTTTTCACAATTTATGTGTTAAATCTTTGTGTGAATTACAAATGGTATTATTATATTCAGATTTAAATTTTTGTTATGTTAAGCAGTAAACAAAGTACTTCAGAAAATTACTAATATATTATTGAAAGAAGAAAGAAAAATTGACTGTGGGCAATATTTTACTTACTAAAAAACAATAACTTTTACGCTAGCGAAGAATTATTCATCATCACTAATCATATCAATAAAATTTTAAATGTTATGCAAATTTTCTGCAAAAAAAGTTTAATCAGCAAAAAAATTGCCAAAAATATATATATGTCATAACAAAGTATGAAAAAGCAAAAAATATACAAAATCAAAATAAATCATGAAACTTTTAAGGTATTAAAAATTTATCCAGAATATTCTTCGTCCTTCTCAGTCTTAAACAATACATATAAACTACGTCAATTTTCACTCTTTTGAATTGCGTAGTATGTAATTAATTTTAGCAATTACAATATGCAAAAGATTCATCTAATCATAAACAAAACTATATTTGTTTTTTTTTGATTAAAAAAAATGACTGCATTAATTAATAAATTTGATTAATTAATAGATGCAAACATTGATGATTTTAGTAATTGATAATTTACAAAATGATAATGATAAAATAGAGAGCGGTATCTTTTGCTCTAGCTAGCACAGCGTTTCGGACAACTTTTTTTTCAAAGCAAAGTCAATTATCTTTAAGAGCACTTGAAAATGAGATGTAATTATGAAGTGTCGTTCTAAATGTTTGCCAGCCCGCGGCACTTTTCCAATTTTCTGCTCTTAAAAAAGCAAAAAAAAAAGCAGTAATTTTTTAGAGAACAGTTTTTGAACAATTTTTGCATGATACTTTTCTATGATTTAAAATGGTAAAAAAAGAAAGATTTGAATATATACAGTTACAAAGT